AACAGTAAAATGATATTTCTTTATCTCCAACTATTTTCAATATCTAATAATTAAACTATGTACACGCTACCCTTAATTTTGAATTGATTTTATGGTTACACGGCAAGTGTTGAAAGAGTCTTTTCTACTTTGAGCTACATAAAGAACAAGGTTAGAAATCGAATATGTGATAAGTTCGTGAAGTATTGTCTAGTAGGATATGTAGATTTTTTTTAACAGTGCAGACACAGTGTTTATTTATATTATTTTTTTAAAAATATGAATTTTAATTTATTATTTAATAAAAAAATTATACAAATTATACAAGTATGATATTTATAATATACGAATTATTTAATTTATTATATAATTAAATTTAATTTTTGAAGAGGACACTCCTGTGAAAATTTTCTGAATCCGCCACTGCGAGGGCTTAAGATGTTCCTCCAAGAATCCTAAGCCGAGATCTTCTGCTCCTTCTTCTTTGTCAGACTCCCCGCCTTCTGTCCGAGCAGGGCTGTCGGGGTCTTCCTCCCTTCCTTTTCCTCTGGCCGCTTGCTTCCCTGAGCTCTCCGGCTCTTCGCTTCCCTTTTCTTTGAGCATGGCCAAGATTTGGCTTAAACTCTCTTGCATGCTTGATATTTGATGCCCCTGACTTTTGACGCGGTCTTCCATTTCCATTTCTTCCTCCACTGTTGGCATTTCCATTCCACGGATGTCGCTCATCGGCGCCTCCTGGCTGCGGAGGTCGCTCCTTTCTACTATGCCTTTGACAGGGGTTTTGCCGTTTTGGAGCTCCCATCCATCCTTTCTTCAGTTCTATGCTCGCCCCACGGTGGGCGCCAAATTGTTTGAGCCTGGAATGTACCAGGCGGTTTATGAAGAACGAGCAAAGCGTCTGTTCCAGAGGGTGGGTGTACTCCAAAATCCTGCAAAACAAGGGTCCGTGGGCGGTCACCCCGGACACCCTCCGATGCTAAAGTTAGAGAGAGAATAAGGTTTTTGCTTAGGTGAGAGAGAGTAGTTGAGTTACCATTAATGCATATACCAATGTATTTATAGTCGGCTAGCTTGAGTATGAGGCATTAAATGCCATGTCAGGCGGCCTAGATACGCCTTGCTTAATCTAGACCGCCCGCGACGGGCATTTAATGCTTAGTCCTGCAGTATCCGAGGTAAGTATCCTAGGAGGATCTTCTCTTCCTGACACCAACGGTACTTTGTGTCAAGCGGCCTATTCCCTGTCACGTTGTAGGGTGACCGCCCGCTGTTCTCCTTTGGGCCTCTCGCTGTGGCTCGGTCCCTTCTTCGTACCCTGCCTGGTCGCTCCCTATGGGCCCAACAGTACCCAAAATATTTGTATACGAAAAATATCATTGGAAAATTACCTTTTGGTACCTAAATTTTTTTATTATGACATTTTAGTATCCAAACTTTTCAAAATTTACATATTGGTCCAAAGCTTGGATGTCATTTGGATTCATCGATTATTCTATCAATCCATCAATCTATTTGATCCAATCCACTTGATCCATAGAACACCAATCCAATCAACCAATCCATGGATCTAATCCAATTGCCACCTCTCATGATGAATGGATGATCCTACATTTTTCTTCTTCTTTTTACATGCTACCAACTGAGGTCTATACGAAAGGGTAAGTTCATCAATAAATTCGAATATGGAATCCACAAATTGAAAATCAACAATACTAGACAAACTCATTGTCCGCAATAACTAGGTATGTAAATAAGTTAAGCCGAGTTGAGAAGAGTTGTTGACCTTATTTGGGCTTTGGCTTGTTACTCAACTAGTCAAGTACGAGCTCAAATTGTTTACTAAGACTTTGGCTTGTGTTTGACTCTAGCATGACTCGAGTTTGGCTCATTAATGAGCTCACAAGCTCTACTCGAGGGAGGATCATCAATTACCTTGCGAGATCAACTCCAGTCTCCAACTAACATATTATATTATTTAGTTCATAATTTTTAAGTTTTCTATAATGGTATTTAATAGTAATAACTAATTAGTACCTAAGCAATCTATGATATAGAATTTATCTCCTATATTATAAATGAGACATATTTGATCACATGCTCAAATTCTTAAAATTCATATATGATGAGATATATAATCTAACAAAAATATGAATTATCAAATGTTAGATGTTTGTTTACCATTTTGTATTCCTTATATGTAGTTAGTATGAAAATTTTCCTAGACTTAGGGTTGTGCAACTCGTATATATTGGGTACGCCTGCTGAGTTTGTACACTGAATTTCGGTGAATAAGAGTATTTCTGCTTGTGGCGTGGACTAATCCTGAATTGTTGGAGAAACTACATAAATTTTGTCTTCATGTTCTTGTATTTTTTTTTATTGTGAGATTATTCTATATCAGCAAGCTAATGATAAGTTATTAACCGATTCGCTCATAAGTTGCTAGTTGACGTGGCTCACTAGCCATACTATCGAGCCATCTCATAGTTTAAAACAAGCTAGCTCGCGAGTTGAGCTCAACAAGCCACCGAATTGAGCTGCCTCACAAATCTTGCATGCCGAACAAGGATTAACTCAAACTCGACTCATTATTAAATGAACCGAGTGTCGATGTTTTCCCCGAACGAACGTAGAACCGCTTGTGACCAGCCTAGCTCATTTGCGGTCCTAATGACAACCCTACAGTGTTGACTAATTAATTAGTACCTGATTACCATTGATGTATAGGGAGATTAGCTAGCTACATTACAATTGTGAGACAAATGGATCTGTTAAAGCCAAATTGGTTTCCAATGTCACTATGTCAGAGAGGCTCTGGTCTCTGGAGTCCGGAGGGCGGTGCGCAACACTAAACAGAGTAACCGCCAAGGCAAGACAGGTAGGTATTCCAGTTACGTTACCAACTAAAGGGCAAGGGCAAAGGATAAGGGACAGAACATAACCAACTTTACTTGTTGTTTTTTGTTTTGTTCCTTCTTATGACGTATATAATATGATAAGGGTAGATATTTGGTTATATAGAATGCGAGTACAAAGTTCCCCATACCTCAGAAATCAACGTAGAAATAAAAAAGATTCCTTCTTTTCCATCCATCGTTGCCATATTCCAATTTGCCTTAAACATTGTGTTTCGTGTGTGTATGTTATAGTGCATATTCACGTGCAGCGTCGGGACAAATATAGGAGGGGACGAGTGGCCCATGATGATGCGGATTATCGCCTAGTGGCAGCAACCTCATGATTTGGACCACAATATTGTCTCATACACATGCCCATTGCCCCCGTGAAATGATAATGATATTTGCCTTCACCCTTCAATATTCTTGCATCAAATGTGTTTATACTTGCATTGTCATATACCAAAATGAGAAGATGGGTATAGTTGAATTTTTTAAAAGGAAAACATAAAAAATGAGTTGATCAATTACCACCGTTAACTTCAACAGATTATATTCCTTAAAATGTTACGTTTTAAAAAATACTATCCATAATACTACACTTACGAACGAAGATATTTCTAAATTTATTGTCCATATAAGCGGATTAGGGCGTACTCCCCAACCCCGACGGCCTCTCGAGTCTCTCCATCGATCCTTGCTTGCCCTCTCGCAGACCGCAGTCTCGACATCTCCTAGTCTACCACCGTCCACACCACCGCCACTCGCCCGTCTCGCCGCCTCCCTCCCATCCACCGTCTCTCCCGCCGACAGCCACCACTCGCCGCCTCCCACGCTCAAAATCCGAAGCCCAAAGCTCCCTTCGAAGGCCACGAAATATAACCACCAGTTGAAGGCCAAAGAAAAACACCAGCAGCTCCACCAACACCAATGCCGGTGGCCAAAAACGGGCAACACATACCTTTTTTCCGGTTTTGAGTAGAAAACCGAATCGAACGGAGATATAATTCGGTTGGGCAAACCGAACCGAATTATATCTCGGTTCGAATTCGGTTGGGGGATATATGGGTTCAAAAACTCGGTACATGCCAGTTCGGTTCAAACCGAACCGACCGAACGCCCACCCCTACTTCAGGATCCTAAGGGCATGGTGGTGGCAGCGTCAACATCATTGTACGAGGGATTTAAGAGCCGGCTCTTGTGGAACTACTGCTTTCCGGGATGCAGTTCGATGGTGTTTGGCGTGCGGGCTGCAGTCGATGGCTATTGCAGGTGATGCTCAAGTGATCCTGAGGAAGATCCGGGAGGATGACGTAGCTGATGGCCTTGACAGTACGCTTATAGAGGAGATACAAAGTTTGCAGGGCTTGTTCCAGGAGTTTAGAGATATTTTTGTTGGTCGTGAATGTAACAGGGTTGCCCACTTTGTGGCAAGAAAAGCCCTTTCGTTGTCCCCCTTTTTAATGAGGTTCAATTTTGATTCTTGGTTGTTTTCAGCTATGTGACTCTTTGAATCTGGCTATTTTCTCGATAATACGAGCGATTTTTGGGGGGAAAAAAGAAGAAGAAACCCAAGTTGAACTTGCTAGAAAGGAATGGAAAGGAGATTATGTAAACCTGTGGGCTTCCCGACCAAAGTCTGTAGTGTTAAGCGGGCCTTACAGATTGCTAGGGACAGCAGCAGCATGGGTAATTACAGGCCAGGCTCTCACAAATAGTAGTTTTGGGCTTTGGACATTGCTGATTAGTGGGCTCTCTGGGTCACCTTGGCTATGGGCCGCCTATTTCCAGCCATAACGTCTCTAACAGCCTTAGACCTTAGCTAACCTGTACAAGTTACAACTTCAACGACATCAGTCTGTGATTAGTTTGGTCACTGTCACGAGATTCCTCACTTGCACCGCCAACTTGAATCTCTTCTTTCACTTCACCGTTACAGCGAAATAGAATTGGTTACGTGCCAAAACCAGTACATGCATCCATGATCATCATGAGTTTCCCCAACTCCCAACTCTCAACCAAAAGTTGCAATCTAAATAAGCCACATTATGATACCCACATTCCACAACACAAACCTTATAAAAGCGCTTACATATACATAAAAAAACGAATGAACTCAATCAATGTCCACCAACAAAAAGGGAGGTAAACAGTGTAAAATATGGACAAAGGTACAGTATAAAAAGGGGCTATGGCTACCAAAGTGTGAGAAAAACGGAAACCAAACTACTAAGAAGAAGATGAAGAGTAGGATTTGGACGATCGGAGTGGCGATTACCACCTTATTAGTATTTGGTAGTTTAACGAGCAAGGCAATGGGGCAGCGGCGCCCGCCGCCACAAGTGCAAGAGGCACAAGTCCCTTGTTTCTTCATCTTCGGCGACTCGTTGGTCGATAACGGCAACAACAACGGCATGCTCACCCTCGCCAGGGCTAATTACGGCCCCTACGGCATCGATTTCCCCTTGGGCGCCACCGGCCGCTTCACCAACGGCCAAACCTACGTCGACGCTCTCGGTACGTACGTACGTTTTATTACCCTAGAATAACACATATGCATGCATGCATGTATACTTACGTACACAAGCGCGTGTTTATATTGGTATACACGTACAGCTCGGCTGCTAGGGTTTCAAAACTTCATCCCGCCGTTCGCCAGAGCTCGAGCCCCGCGGGAGGTGCTGAGGGGAGTCAATTTCGCTTCCGGCGCCGCCGGCATCCGGGAAGAAACCGGCAACAATCTCGTACGTTACGATTAAAAACCCATCATAGATACATGCGAACTCTTCGTTCCAACTTCCAACCTAGCTATATAATTTAAACTTCTTTTTTTCCCCCAATATGCAAGGGAGATCACGCTTCGCTGAGCCAGCAAGTGACCAACTTCGGCAACGTGGTGCAAGTGATGCTTCGGTACTTCCGAGGGGACACTTCTCTCCTCAATTCCTACCTCGGCCGGTGCATCTTCTTCTCCGGCATGGGGAGCAACGACTACCTCAACAACTACTTCATGTCCAATTTCTACACCACCAGCTCCGACTACACTCCAAAGGCGTTCGCCTCCGTTCTCCTCCAAGACTACGCCAACCAGCTAGCCGTACGCTAATTCTCATTCATCGTACCCCATTTTGCTCCATCAATATTAACAACCAGCTTTCAAACTAATAACTAGCTAGGTTACGTTTTGCTTTTGTGATGATGCAGAAGATGTACACGATGGGAGCGAGGAAGGTGATCGTGACCTCGGTCGGGCAGATCGGGTGCATACCTTACCAGCTGGCTAGGTACACCGCCAACAACAACACCAACAACAGCAGCCGGTGCAACGAGAAGATTAACGACGCCGTCTCCTTGTTCAACTCGGGTTTGAAGAGGCTCGTCCAGCGCTTCAACGGTGGGACGGAGCTTCCCGGAGCTAAGTTCGTTTACCTCGACTTCTACAAGAGCACAAGCGACTTGTATCGCAACTCCTCCCAATACGGTAATATAATTCATTGTACTTATATACATACGAACTTACTTCTTCTCGTTTCGATTTCACTTACTAATGTTTATATGTTTTATCTAGGGTTTGAAGTGATAGACAAAGGGTGTTGTGGAGTTGGGAGGAACAACGGCCAAATCACATGCCTGCCGTTGCAGCAACCGTGCCCGGACCGGCGGAAGTACCTGTTTTGGGATGCCTTCCACCCCACGGAACTTGCCAACGTCTTGTTGGCGCAGTCGTCGTTTTCAACTCAATCTTTCACTTATCCCATCAACATTCAACAACTGACTATGGCTTGATGAGAATCAATTCATCAGTTTGATCATATTATAAATAATTAAATATATAGTACGGCTTGATGAGAATCAATTCATCAGTTTGATCATATTATAAATAATTAAATATATAGTACGTAGCATAAAACACAATTATATGTGTACTAGTGTACAACAATTTGTCCCTTATTGTGTCCATGAGTTATGGGGTTACAATAATAGTCCTCTATATATATAGTACGTAGCATAAAACACAATTATATATACATTGCTATATCTTTGAAACCTTCAACGTTAACTCCAAACAATGGAAGGACAATACAAAGAACATTATATAAGAAACATATATGACAAGAACTTTGTTAACAAATAACAAAGTAACAATGACTGTTAGCTAATTAACTAACATAAAGTAATACACAGAAAGAACCTTGTGTTAGTCTTGAGATTAACATCAATGAACTACACGCAAAGTCCTTAAATTATTTGGATACATACGATTCCTTGGGCAACAAAACCAAGTCTTTGAAGAAAAAAATGAGAATGAAAATTACAAAAATAAACAAACCGGGCCGGCATGCATGCTGAGACTGAGATCATCAAGGCTTTGACACTTCGTAATCAACAATTAATCATAGCCTATGATGATCATCATCTGAATTTATGTAGCTAGGCTAATTATCAACTAATTAGCTTAAGGCTAAGCTAATGTCATCTTCATGGTCGTGCTGAAAACTTAGTTCGTCATCATGATCCTCATCCTCCTTCATTACCGCCAAACTACGAACGTTGTTATTATAATTTTTACCATTCCCGTGATGAACATCGTCCTCCAATGCCAGCCGAGCACGTGGCGGCGGGGACGTTATCCCACCATCCGGGTCATCCTGCTGCTCCTCATCATGAACCCGACCCGACTTCCCCTCCCCCGCCACCACGTGTCCAGCCGCGGCAGCTCCACCTGTATCGCTGATGTGTCCGTACACCAGCACCACGATCCCCGCCACGGACGTCAAAAACGTGACAGCTAAGCTGGTACTTATCTCCCCCGGCAAGGTAGCCGCCACCGTGAACCCGGCGAACGCCCCCGCCGCCCTCCACCACTCGAACCACGCCGCGAACACCCCTTCCTTCCCCGGCGGCGAGCAGTCCGACAGCAGCACGCGCTGGAACGCGTGCATCACACCCGCCGACGTCCCCTGCACCGCCGAGAAGGCTAGAATTACTCCGGCGGCCCAGATTCCGGACCGGAAGTAGAACCCGAACCCGGACGTGATCAGCGCCATGACGAACCCTAGCGCGTGCATCTTCGCCGCGTCGGCTCGGAGCGCGTGCTGGACCAGGTGGACCGCCGGGAGGGAAATTAAAGGGAATACGAAGTAGATCAGCCAGGAGTAGAGGATCACCGGCGGCCGGAGACAGAGGAATCCGGCGAAGTAGAGGTATCCGCTCGCGAAGATGCACATCGTGGTGAACGACGAGAGGAATGTTAAAATCAGGGTTGTGAAGGCGTGCGGGTAGGTGAAAATCGAGAGGGAATGTTTCGCCGGCGAAGGCCGGCCGGCGACATCGCCGGAGACGCTGCGGGGCTTGATGAAGGCGACGTGGGAGATTCCGGCGGCCCACGCGAGGCCGCTGAAGATGGTGACGATCCAGAGGCTGAGCTCTTTTTCTTTTTTCCGGAGCATGTAGTAGGTGAAGGCAGTGATGACGGCGGAGCCGAGGGCGCCGGCGGCGGCGGCGTAGAGGGAGAGCCAGCTGGAGATCCAGCGGCGGAGGGCGAATCGGGACTTGTGGAGGTTCGGGCCGGTGAATCCGCGCACCATCATGCCGTGGTGGCGCGTGTGGGTGGCTGCGGCGATTGTGCTCGCCGCCACGATGGCGATGATGAAGGGCGGGAAGATCCAGGTGACGTTGAAGAACCCCGTGGGGAGGCAGAAGAAGAATCCGGTGGCGATGGCGGTGCCGGCTATGATGGGCTGGAAGTTGCCGTAGTCCAGGCTTGTGGATATGAGCCAGAGTATTGGGCCGGCTAGGCCCAAGCCCACTCCCCATGAAAAGGAGGTCCATTGCAATGCTGAGATTCTGGCGGTCCCGAATTCTACGTTCTTGTTCACCAGCGCTTCGTATCTGCCAACATTATCAACATTCCGCATAAGCATTCAATCATTCATTCCATATTGCACATTGTAAAATTTTGAGAAACCGTTCCGCATAAGGAATTATAAATTATATATACCTTTCAAATGAAAAACCTACTTATATGATTTTGAAATTTGCACATATTCAAATATCAAATATCATGTATTTATCAAAACATATGAGGTCACCAAAATTCTAACAATCAGAATTATAAAAAAAGACCTCTTCGTCACAGAAGAATTTAACACTATGTCAAAAAACCAGTTAGTTCCAATGAGTCAAGCTATAAGAAGAAGTTCAATTATTAATCATATACCACTTACTAACATAAATAACGTTGTTCAACTAGAAGATATGAATGTACTTAGTAGTGTTTGTGAAATCGTAGACGTATCAACAATCTGACCGGGAAAAAACCTCGCCTATCCAATGCTAAATCGGGTGGCAGGGATTTACGAAATGATTGAAGGTCGGTCTCAAACCACAATTTCAACACAAAACAACTTTACCGTTAACTTTTCCGATGATAACGAGAGACTTACAGCTGGGATAGTTGAGGGCGGCAGGAGAGGCCGATGGGGCTGGTGAGCCAGCCGGCGGTGGGCTCGGCGGGGAGGCGGTGGATCTGGCTGATCATGAGCGGGAAGACGATGGGGAGGAGGGAGGAATGGATGAAGTAGGAGCAGACCTCGTACAGATACCAAATCCACACCTCCATCTTCGAAGGCTTCTCCATGACGTCGGAGTTGTAGCCGGCGTAGGCCTCTCTAGCTCGCTCCAGCTTGAGGCCGGTGTCGTGGAGGTCCGGCGTCGAGATGGAGGACTCGATGCTGCGGTGGTGGTCTTTATTATTGCTTTCCATCTCCGGCGCCGGAGTGGGGAGAAAGCTAGGAGGGAGGGGAGAGTTGGTGATTAATTAGTGAGGAGGTTAATTAAATGGAGTGATTAAATTAACTAAGTGAAGAGGTGTTGGGCGACAATATCATGGGTTAGTCCGAAGTGAATCAAACAGCTAGCTGGGGGACGAGGCGAGGGTGTTTGGAAGTGGATTAGCGGAGCCAACGAGATCAGTAGCATGTGACAAAAAACAAACATTGCTTTAATGACCATCAAACTTGTCATTAGCGGGTTCCTGCTATATGGCTTTTTTTGGCGTCGACCTATCTTGCTAAAGGCAAATTATCTTAGGAACATCAATTTGTTTATGGGCTGACCGAGTAATTTACTTACTCGACTGAGTTGAAGAGGTAGGGTATTTTCTTGTTTTGTTAAAAAAAGCATAAGGAATTTGTGATAACAATGTAAGAATATTTCGATCTAACCCTTCATTTCTTTCTATATTAGTTGGAGCATATTTAGGGATGGCAATGGGTCGGGTTGGGGCGGGTTTTGTCAAACTCAAACCCAAACCCATGGGTTTATCCGCTAAAAAAATCCGGGGTAAAACCCGTTGGGTTTGAAAAACTCAAACCCAACCCAACCCCCTGGGTATCCGCGGGTTCATGGGTACCCGTGGGTTTTTGTGGTAAAAATTTACAATAACAAGTTTCTTTCAAAATAAAAGTTTAACATCAATTTTCTCATACAAATTAATCATACAAAAAACACCAATCTAGAGCATACAAGCAAACCGCAAATGATCAATACAAATTGTTCAAAATTAAAGATAAACATACATAAACAATAAGATTAATTGAAAGCTTCTTCCTCGTCAACTAAGTTTCTTCACTCTCCACTTCATAATATCAACTTCATTCTAAACAATTATAAAGAAAAAATTATACATGTCTCCACAAACATAAAGAATATCAGTTCTTTAAGGAAGATATATTATTTAGAATATTAAATATATCGGGAAAGTAATTATATGTGTGTGGGCGGGTACCCATGGGGCGGGTTTACCTAAACCCAAACCCAACCCGACCCGGTGAATAGTGTAGCGGGTTTAAACCCGAACCCGACCCAAAACCCGTCAACACGGGTTTTACCCGCGTTGACCGGGTTGGGTCGGGTGGGTACCCGTGGGTTCGGGTTTTGTTGTCATCCCTAGGTCTAGGGTGTATAACCTTGATTATGCATAACTAGATTTGGTTCATTGATTTTGAGTAGGGACATATGTAAAGGGTAAGAACTTTTTTCCTACGTTTTTTTAATCAATTTGCATCTTGTTTGTTTTAACTCGAATTTTTTTTCATGCACAGAGAGTACGAGGTTATTGAAATCTATAAAATAATATAATTTTCAATGTATTTGGAGAATTTTTTTTATCACCCATTACCCCCTGGGCAACTTTCGACTTTTACCCTTAAGTTTTGGGTGTTGAGCTCTCTTATCCGGTCTTTATCCAGTTTTCGATCCGGTCCCAAATGGTTTTTTTTTACCTCAAATCTAAGTCCAAAGATTGGATTTGATTGTTTACTATCCGGTCCCGGTCCGGTCTCGGTCTGGATTATAGGATCCGATCTCGGATAAAACCAAAAAAATCGAACCAAATAGCCAGCCCTAGTTTTCTTTCTCTAGTTGCCATCAGTTAATTCTTTGGAAACCACCATGATTAGCATATCAATTATCATCTTACAAGTCCTGTTATATATTGTTGAAAACACATATATTCGGGGCACATTAATTAGATGTGTAATGAATTTTCTACAATGCCATGCGCTTACAAGAACTTCATATTCAAATAATTAATTTTTCTTGCCTTGAACCAAAACAAGACATTGTAAACAAGGCGTAAGCGGCAAATACATAATAAATAATACAACAACTGGCTTATTAACGACCCTTCACCGGACGTAGTCACGGAAATTGACTCTTAGATTCTAACTGATATTATTCGTTAACATGTATGCGGCGATGGCCGGAGGTAGGTCAACAACATCATATATAATAATACGATAAAAAGTCATTATCCCATTGCATTACAAAAGAAAACAGTAAAACATAAACACTATAATGGACAATCCAAACCAAGACATTAGCCTTAAATATAGTCACTATTGCCATGCACCATGATGTCTCTAGAGTGAACATGAAATAACCAAAAGAATGTTTACCTGGCTCCAATTATTGATGGTAAAAATAGAAGCCACCAAGAGATTTCATAAGAAAAATCCAATCTGGATTGCCCTTGGACCAAAAATCCACAGTGACACCAAAGGCAATGAATCCCTGGCTGAGAAAACAAAAACCAGCAATGTCCAAATCAAGTAGATGGAATGCGTCGACCAGTTTTTTCTAATATATAGTTTTGTTAATTAAAATGACAAAAAAAATACAAAGCATCCAATATGTTGTAGAAATCTCATATACAAACAAATGAAATAGACAAGCAATATATACGTGGAAGCACCAACACATATAATAACTTTTGTGAATATCCCTACCACTGTGAAATCCTACCAAATCACTTCTAGCCACTCTGCTACACTAAACACACAAATGACTTACAACTCTGTACTTACTAACATTTCAATCTGTATATTTCAATCGTCATGAACCATCCCCATTATCACGGTTCTTATCCTTCTCAACAGCAAACACACTGATTGGTCCACTCTTACTCCTTTTTCTTGGCAGCTACATGATATTTTGCGTCAGTGCACATTAATTCAAATGACTATTCCTTGCTGCAATTTATGACTTGGGGTAATATCACTTCAGTCATAATACAAATTTACATGAAATGAAAGGAATGATCATTATAATAGCCTTGTAAAATTTAGAGAACCAATGTTGATTCCTCTCTTCTTCTTGGTGGCTTCATCAATAAAATGAGATTGATGACTATATCTACCAACACATTCTATATGATCATAATATGGCCTTTTGTATAAATCATTTCTGCCTTACGTACCCATTTTTGCATCGTAACTCCAAGAGCTAACTTGCTTGGGCTCTCCTCTGGGTAAACAACTTGTATCAACATCAGGCATGAAAACAAAAACTGCTTTGTTTGAGTTACTATCAGGATCTTGTGTGATACTCTGAAGAAGGCTAAACCGTTTCTCAGACATTGTCAACCCCCAATCAATTTGACGTGGGTCATTTCTCTCTTACCATAAAGAGGAAGCTTATGTTAGCCTCTTTTATAGCTTAACTTAACAATTTCTTAGAGGAGATACAATCACGATTCATAATTCTGGAACAACCACCTAAGATAATACAATCTTATGGAAACAACACTAATTAAGCACCTAAATTACAATTCTGTGCATGTTTCCTATGAGGGTGTGCATGTGAAAATTAAGAAAAATATAAGGATTAAGGAGGGAGCTTACTTGGCACGCGGTTTTGATGAGAAAAAATCCCGTCAATAAATTTCAGGTGGATATGTCCCATCGATCGAGTCTAGACTTGCGTATATATCAACATGCTATACTACAAACACAAAGAGTTTGGTTTGTCCTTCCCATGATAACATATGCTTACCATGTATTTATTCATTACAGAGAGAAAGATAAAAACCATCTAGTATCCGCTCCAATTATCGCTATCACTCGTGCTTTTTATATTGTAGTAATTAGAACCCCACTTTTAAATCTGGAAGCAAGTGACCACTATCACGAAACATCATATTGTAAAAAGTAAAAACTTATCTGCAATCATGATGTTATTTCACTCAAAGGAAACCATGTTCTATATGTTGAAGATCAGCATTATAGCTTGAATAGTTCAATTCGGCAATGAACTCAGCTCTTACATATAAATTTTGTGTAAAAGTGGTATGATTGAAGCTATTCACTATGTCAACACTAATCAAAATAGTCTATATTTATTGGAAACTAACCACAAAAACATTTCAAATCAGAAAAACGATGATACTGAAAAGGAGTATCATAACAAAAGCAACAAAAAGTATAGCTATTTATCTTTAATCAACTCAAAAGTCAACCTAGAAGATCAACCAAATGAACTGATGTTAAGAGATCACACATTATTGTCAAAGAAACTAAATACCTCATCAGTAAGCTCTGCAAACAAGAACAATCAACATTTCCATATTTACCCCTCAGAAAATTACATTGCGTAACAATATAGGTTGGAGGAAGTTAGGCGGTTGTCGAGTCCGATGGGAAGGTTTGGAGAGACGACGATGGTTGTGCGTTTAGTAGGCACGTGATCCCGAGACACTATTTATCTTTAATCAACTCAAAAGTCAACCTAGAAGATCAACCAAATGAACTGATGTTAAGAAATCACACATTACTGTCAAAGAAACTACATAACCCACCAGTCGGCTCTCCAAGCAAGAACACTCAACCTTTTCATCTTTACCCTTTCAAAAATTGCTTTGTGTAACAATATAGGTGGAGGTTAGGCGGTTGTCGAGTCTGGTGGGAAGGTTTGGAGAGATGACGATGGTTGAGCGTTTAGTAGGTCGGGACACCATTTAAACCCGTTTACATTAGTTGCGCATTTTCAATCCGCATTTGACAAACCAACATCACTTAACCTTTCCATATTTACCCCTCTCTTAAAGACACATGTGCCCCATATTCACTCAAAACTTCTATGTTCAAAAATATTATTGCTTTATGGTAGTTATATTATATATGTGAAGAATTCTGCATCGCATCTACACATTTAATACTGCAATTCGATGTGCATTATTTGCACCAATGATATTAGGCTTGCGATTTTAAAATGATTCTTCTTTAATAAGACAAATAGAAATAGAAATAGAAATAATTATTAAACTCGAATTAAAATAATCAAAGTATGAAAATAGAAGTATCAAATGCCAAAAAATATTTAGGGGAGAGTTAGTAGCTTAGCTAACTGTGATGAAAAATTCCGATGATTTTCAGATTTAAGCTTCCTTATATTTTTAATTAAAAAAATTTAAACAAATTTGTTTAGTGTATCTGGTTATGTTTCTTGTATTTTCTCAAAGAGATCACAATTCAAATCCCATCATTTATGTATTTTTGCTAAATAAGAAAATACTAAATGACTGTGAAGATGAATCTACCCTTCCTACTTTTGCTATGGATGCAAGGATTTTGTAATGGGGGAAGCACATTTCCCATTTCACTATTATATTAGGTGTAGCGAAAGTAACCCGGGTGGTTGAGCGTTTAGTGGGTTGGACACTATCTGAGCCCGTTTACATTAGTAGCGACTTTTCATCCGCATTGGCAAACCAACAACACTCAATATTTCCATATTTATCCCTCCAAAAATTGCTCTGGCGTAACAATAGAGGTAGAGGAGGTTAGCCGGTTGTTGAGTCTAATGGGAAGTATGGAGAAACTTGGGCCCGTTTACATTAGTAGTGTCTTTTCCATCCGCGTTCGGCAAACCAACATCACTCAACATTTCCATATTTACCACTCTCTTAAAGACACATGTGCCCATATTCACTCAAAAGTTCTATGTTTAAAAATATCATTACTTTATGGTATAGTTATAACAATTAAGTCTATGTTAAGAATTCTACATCGTTTCTACACATTTAAGAATGCAATTCGATATACAATATTTGAATTAATGACATTTCGCTTGCTAACCGTGGTGGAAAAGTCCTATTATTTTTTAGATTTAAACTTTCTATATGTTTTTAATTAAAAAAGATCACACAAATGTGTTTATTGTAACTGATTATGTTTCTTATCTTTGTTCGAAAAGACCACATTTTAAATCTCATTATTGATGTATTTTTTTCTGTAAATAAGAAAATAATAAATAACTGTGAAGACGAATCTACCCCTTCTACTTTCACTTTGGATGCAGGAAATTTGAAATGGGGGGGTTCAAATTTTCTCATTTGGCTTTTATTTATTTGTAGATGTTCCTCCCTGAATGCATATATGGATGGATGGTGGAAATTTGTATGGTATCGGTATCCCAATACCGAATACTGAATTACACCATAAAATCAATCTCAATCACTAAATAATTTCGGTATCCCAATTTTAATCTCTAAATTTTTTGGTATCCCAATCGGTATTATCAAATACGAAATTAGTTAAATTTGATTTGATTGTTTAATTTAGGACAAAGTGACTAAGCAAAGAGTTAAAGTTTGCTTAGAGCTAGGATATGGATAAGGGGAAGAAATGAGAGGTGACATATCAAGTTCTTGTCATTAGTAATCTTTGATTCAACGAATTGGAGTGGTGAGAGACGACTACTACTGGTGTTTGCTTTTTGGTTTTATGAAAATAACAAGAGTTCAGGTGAGAGACGAGAGTGACTTAAACTTGAAAGCCAAAATTGAGTTGGATTTGGACTTGTGAGTTGTGAAAGATTGTGGAATGACCAAAGGTTGCATACGAATTTCAATCCCGTAATCCGAATACCGAATAGCACTTCATAATAAATTCTAATCTCAATTCCTAAAAAATTAGTTAGTATTCGATAACACTAAACAATGATAAGTTGGTTACATTCACTACATGCCAAATACCAATACCAAAGTGGAGTAGATAATTAAGGAATTGATGCAAGCAAGCGGCTTTTAATTAACTAGCTAGGCATGCATCTTAAGGAATAATGACAAAAGTTGGATGTGGTCGGCGATTGCACATACGTACGTATGAGAAACGGGAGAGGGTGTACGTTATCCGTAGAAACTTATCGTGATTCGTGATGCGTACATATATAGGTACCCCAGGCGTAAATATATTAAGAATATATTTATACGTAAACTTTTTTATGCAGGTTTTCATTTTTAACACTAAATAGACCTAACAAATCATGAAAACAACATAAATAAAATCATTCTTAATGTGGTTCAAAATATGAATTCTAAAATATCTATTAATTCATAAGATAGAGTACTATTAGCCAAATCATTCATCTCTGACTAATACATCTACTAACCAATTAATAACTAAAATATTATTGTTAACAAGGGGAAAAAGTGAAATGGTGAAGGGAGAATTGAGAAAAATGATTTAGATTTTGGCGACCACTTAATTATATTTCTATTATTTATTTTCTTGAGTTACCCTCACTCAGTGACAGACCTAAAGCACAGCTAGAGTGTCCTGGGGACGAGGTGGTGAATGGATTGTCATTTTGGGGGTATGATGAATCTGCATATTCAAGTAACATAGGTAACTTCATTCAACTATTAAATTTTCATGCTCTTGGTAGAGAAGATATGCAAAGTGTGGTGGATAGGAGTGCTTCAAGATACCTCCAGGCTACAAAGATGCAAAACTATCATATATGTTAATGCCATGTCTTGTAAAACGACTAAGAAAATTATTAAAATATTGGAAATGATTTTTTCATCTTTGAGTTATATAAAAAACAAGTCTCGGAATCGAATAAGTGATCAGTTCGTGAATGATTGTCTAGTAGGATATATTGAAATAGATTTGTTGAGTACTGTAGACACAACATGTATTTACGATATTTTCATACATCATGGTATTTTCTTTTTTATGATTTTTTTTAAATTTATTTTTTTAAAGAGAACACATCTAGATAAAATATATGCGTGTATCGCTGCCCTCGCTATCATTGAAAAATTACAACGTGATCCATGTATTTTTCATATGTGAAGAACGACTTTCAACGGGACAAATATAGCTATGAGGTGGAATGAGACTAAAACTAAATCTGCTTCATACCCATCAATATTTTTTTTTGGAGATTTTACCCATATCCAATATATGGAAAAATTCTTCTTGGTTCTAGACGTGCTAGTACTCGCCTTCGTTGGGTTGATGTCATCCATAGTCATAACTCGTAAGTCATGACTTAGGTAACCAGTTCGTGGAGCGAGAGTGTGAAAGCGTATCATTTTGAAGAATTCAATACTAAAAGGGCGAATAAAAAGTTAATATTAAATTATTATTTATGCGAAAACTTGATATATAGTAGAATGATTTAGACAACTAAAAAATATAAAAAAAGGATTTAGTGACCAGAGATGATTCAACTCTCTCCTTCTTAAATCCTAGGTCTACATTCTTCTAAGTTTTGCTCATGCACAAAGTTAGCAACATAAATTAATTCAAAACTCCTAAAATGACTAATATTTGAATCCACATATAAACATTCATGAGTATATGGTATATAGATATATTTATAGGGATTATAAAGCAATTTGTACTTGTATTGAAAGGAGAGACTTGAGAGAAGTAGATAAGGGAAGGGATTTTCGTTAAATGAAAAAGGAAGGATAAGGGATAATAATAAGTATCCTTATTTAGGGATTCTCATCGTCCATTCTCTGTCTGTCACCAAACCCCTCACTGTGAGTCCGTGACTTTCTCTCCAGTCGGTCGACGGTCGACTCCTCTTTAACACCATAACCTCGACTACCCCCATATTTTACCCTTCAATTCTTCTCCTCTATAGCTCAGTACCCACAGCCCCAACCACCAATAACTCATCGCCTAGCCTGTACTTTTTTACTTCAGAAAATTCCCAATCACAAGCGGCCGACAGTCACTCAAAGATCCCCGTGAAGTTTGACGATGGAGCTTGGTTTGGAGTCCTCAATGGAATTAAAGAATTTCAAGCCTCGTGTCTGCTGATACATCTGGTCGACAACAACTACAATGAACAAAAAGAGTGAAACCATGAAGAACAGAGCGGTGCATGTCGGACAGCGACAAGAGAGTAAGTGTCGAAAGGCCTTGGAGAATCAAGCATCCTGCTTGGGTAGGCGAATCGAAGAGTCTCTGGGAAATTCGTGCTCCGCGAAAATAAAATTCGTGAATTTTACCCGACTTCAATATAATTCGCGTTTTCACGCACCAAAGCGGGAGCGTCAAAACAATATGAAGTTACCTAAGTCATGACTCATGAGCTTTCTTGTCCATGTAGCCCGCTGTCCGGCAACCTTTCTATTTCCCCACAAATTCTTACCTTTTCTGTCTCATGAATAATTGACTTTATTCAAGGGAAACAAAAAAAAGAACAATTGACTTTTTTTAGATGTTCAGTGAAGATATATAATATTAAAAGAAGTTTTGCGCTGAACTCTACAACTTATCAGATAGCTTATTCATTATTAATTAAATATATTTAAATCTCAACATTCCATCGATTTTTATTTTATACAAAAAAATATTATATTCTTAATTTGGATTTTTTGTGTACACCAAAAAATGATCTTATACCATATTGATAATAATTTACAATGTGATTAATACTCTTACAAGGACATATTAATTATAACAATTAATTTTATTTAAACTGGACCTCATTGGTCTTGACTTTTAAACGGAAGACACTAAAATTTTTTGTGAGCATGAGCATGAGTCAAAAGAGACACTGTCCTCTCGAGAGTCAATGCCATAGAATAATGAACCATGGTTCTCAAGCCACGTATCAAGGAAGAAAAGTACACCATGTCTTGAGAATGGTCATGAGATCAATTCTCATAGCCACGAGGGTCGTATGCAAAATATACTAAGTTCTAAGAAGTCATGCTTTCAGATCATACATCATGACTACTCGGTTGCGACTTGCGAGTAGGCGACCATAAGCTTATCATAAAAATAGCATGACAAGAAACCACACGGACACAATATTTGGAACAAGACTAAGCAAAGCAAACTACACTCCAAGAGTCGGGATGCTTCCGGAAAAGGCACATAGGCGATTGAGAGAGAAACTGCTAATCATCCCATGTTCAAGGACACGTGAGGCACATATGAGGAAGATGGGAGCAATTCTAATTTTGGAAGTTATCTAATAGCAAGTTTTTTACGATGGTTACCTTCTCGTTGCTATGAATAGGAGAAGGGATCGACAAGGACAAGGGTTCCCAAAACCATACAACTGACATCTATGTCAAGTATTACTATTTTTCTCTGCAAATGTACTCATAGTCATAATTTGGAACTCTCGTTGAACCTCCAAATAGGAGTAACTTAATTTAGTTTCATTTCCGAAAACCATTGATCACACTCTCATTCGAATTATGTTTGAAAAGATACAAGTCGTGTTTTATTAATCGTTAGCCAAAAACATCAATACGCATTTAATTCAATTCAACACGAGTTTTTCCGCTGCGAAAACAAAACAAACGCACTTTCAAGAGTCAACGTCCTAAAAAGAAGTAACAATGCTATAACATGAGCCCAAACGCTCAAGTTTTCTTTCCTCGATTTTACGTTAACTAGCCTATAGTATCATCGGAAAGAAAATCTCTTGGCGACGTTGAGATATAGGAAACCTGATAGAATCCCAATGGAGACCAAAAGAACTAAACACCAAAACAAAACCCTCGAGTCAAAGGCGAAGCCCCGCGTAGAAGGAACAATGCTTGACCTAGGAGTGCCGTAATTAGTCTCATCATCCGCATCCGTGAGGTAGGTCACCGCCGGGGCCTCTGCCGCCGTCGCGGCGGCGATGGAGGAGGAGTAAATATTGCAGTTGCTTTGGCAACCCACGCCGCAGTGCTCCGCCGTAACCCCACAAACGCCGTCTTTGCTACAACAATATCCACTAGCGCACGTTGCATTACTATCGGCCATTAACTGACCGCCGCCGCAGTACTGCTCCCCGACGGCCGGAGCCACAGCCGCCGCACAGAGAATTAGATCGATGGCAGCCACGATGTAAGGAATTGCAACCCGCATTTCAGTTGGAACGTACGTTATCTTCGATCTTGTGGCTTCAGCGGAGCTATATGCAGAAATTGTAAGAAAGAGTCATCTAATTTTAGTAAATATTTCAGTTGACTATATAAGTATGAAGCCATGCAAGGCATCTGCCGACTGCCGAATAGAAATGCTGAAAACAAATAAATAACCAAAGAAAAGAGAAGCCCTTCATTCTACGTAACGTAGGTACGTCTTTCATTTGAAAACCTTCCGCGTTCGTTCCCGATTTTGTTTCCTTCTTGTTTTTAATATTTTTTTGGGTGGACTTTTATTCTTCTATTTTGTTTCCTTAATCGCCCATCGAATATTTCGATAGTTGTTACCAACCCGTATCAATAATATGGGCTAACTTTTTCTCCGGTGGATGTATGCCGTGCCGGCCGGCCGGCCGCTAGCTGGTGGCGGTGTGACGTACTAAATTAGTATATACGTCTTCTGTCGCATTCAGCGGTAGCCAGTGGCTCTCGTCGTACGTACTGCATGATAAGTAGTAACCAACCGTGGCGGCATCTCCATTAATCGTAATTAATGTATTTCAGCATTTGCGCAATCGGGACACATGAAATGTTGCAATATTAATCAAAAGAAACACAAAAAAGATTAATGCTCGATTAGCCAGCTGCGGTTAATTTTGTTGTTGTTTTATAATGGAGAATCTTGCATAGTTACTGTCACAAACCAGTTGGTCCCAATAACTCGAGTTGTTGGAAGAAGTTCAATCGTGGATCATATACCACAACACTAACACGCCCCCTCAAACGAAAACCACTCACAAGGGCTTCAAGTTTGCACAGGTCTGAAGACAAGAATACCATGTGCTCAACAAATGGGGGTCACCGGGAATCGAACACAAGACCTTTCGGTCACAGAAGGCTCTGATACCATGTCATGAACCAGTTGATCCCAATAACTCGAGTTGTTGGGAGAGGTTCAATCGTGGATCATATACCATACTCTTACACGTCCCCCTCTAACGAAAGCCAACCCAACAACTCGAGTTATTGGGATCAACTGGTTCATGACATGGTATCAGAGCTGGTTTGGCCAAGTGGTCGTGTGTTCGAATCTCCACGACCCCCAATATTAACAGTTGATTAAAGCACATGGTATGGTGGGCCTGTGCAAACTTCAAGCCCATGAGTTGGCTTTCGTTTGAGGGGGCGTGTTAGAGAGTGGTATAAGATCCAGCATAACCTTCTCCCAACAACTCGAGTTATTGGGAGCAACTGGTTCATGACAGTTACATTGTATTATGAATGATCAGTTACGTACAAGAGAACCAAAGAAAGAAATTGTATCCAAGCAAGCATAAATCGTCTCTGAGCGATCGGTTGAAAACAAACCGTACTTTGGAAATACACCATAGAAGAGCAACGCAAAGAGTGAAGACAACCACCCAAAGAATCTGAACACTTAATAAAAAGAAAAAAAAATAGTATATCAAGAATCCTTCTCTCATACAAATCAAACATAGTACCAATAAGATTAGAATCGGCTCGTCCAATCACAACAAAGTCTATTACGATTGAACATAGCAATGCCATATGAGCAACCACCACACCGAGCCAAAGAAGACTCTATCCTCCATGATCCGACGAGCGACCAAGCAGCAGACAAACAACCAGGGGATGCCAGAGGAGGAAAGCAGAGAATGGCTTCACCAAAAGACAGTGAACCCACCAAACCTTGGAAAATAACCACCCCACCTATCGGAATGAGGTTCCCAAGATGCGAAACGCCAAATCACAAAAAGAGCAAGCCCATAACAGAAAATCCTAAAACTGAATGAAGAACATCTGCTCAATTAAGGAAACTAACAAGAATGGACAACCCGAAGGAGAAATTGAGTTTGAATTGAATATAACTAAATTAATCTCGAACCACACAAGTTTTAGTACATGAGACATTCAAGTTGTCTTGTCACCATATAAAACAAATGAAGTGCGGTCATGCAAATTACCCATTAAAGTGATACAACCATAATCCTAAAATCCATCATCAAATTCAACAAGCGAAGAACAAAGTCTTAAAATTCATAACAAACCAATCCATCATAAATCCTTGGTTTTTCAAAAATACCAAAAACTTTACTTTTCTAAATCTAACAAGCAAATCACCTCTATGGCTCTATACGTGGAAGTTGACGATGAGAGACAATCAGACAAAATCAATGTTCGATGAGATAGTAAGCCATTTAGCTATTACGTCACTTCTTCTGGTGATAAATTCAGTCTTCAAATCATCCAGCTTCAAACTGCATTACTCAGTGACGTAATGCTCAACCTCCCAGTTCAGCAGTTTAAGATCTGACACAAGAAGAGGCAAAAGAAAAATAGGATTTTTGTCATTTCATGATCGGTATGCTGTCCATTCATCAATCTCTCATTTTTCTTTACATGATGACCAGGGACACTCAGTCACTTAGGGGTGGGCATACACTTCGGTAAAACCGAACCGAACCTAACCAAATCGAATATATACCGAATTAAAACCGAATTAATGTTATTTGGTTTGAATTCGGAAGAGAAAATGACATATTTCGGAAACCAGGGTCCTTTTGACCGAACCGAATTTTCGAATTCCAAACCGAATAACTATAATTCCAAATGGTGGATTTTTATGTCTGTACTTATGATGAGACTTAAATATTTGAATCATGTTAGTGTTTTATGACTTATGTGTTGAAATGTTTGATTTCATCATTGATGATGCATATAATTGCATATTTATTGTTTACATTAGAAGTGAAAAATAATTTAAAAGAGAAAAGATACAAGCTAATCTCACAAGTTTGGTTTTGTATGAAAAAACGAACCGAACCGAATTAATTCGGTTCGAATTCGGTTTGAAGTTTGGTAGAATTCGGGGACCCGGTATAGGTTCAATTTAAACCGAACCGACTATATGCCCACCCCTCGCTCACTGCTCTCTGGTTTTACTAAACCCCAATTCATTAGTGTCCACTGTCTCTGATTAACTCTGTTTGTTCACAGCTATCCATTATAGCACCTAAATCATCCAACAAACCTCAATACAAAAACAAAGAAAATTGAAACCAATAATTGTAAGAACTAAAGAATAAGGAGACTGTTAATCACCCCCAGTTGTACAAATGGTCGAAATTGATTGATGCATCAAGCTTGTACCGGAGATTTATCAGCCAACAAAACTTGTGAGAAGCTGTTGATCCCTGTCCCAGCTAATCAACTTCCTGCATCTATAAAACAAAGGTGAAAAATATGCAGCAGCTGAGTAAGGACTATATTTCTAACTTGAGCTCTGATAACAACAGGCGTAATATGTTTTACCATTTTGTGTTGTAAATCAAATGAACATCGACTGTTATCCAGTGGAATTAAGTAACATGCACTGGATCACCATTTGCCACAATCTTATGTGTCGAGAAATGCCTCAGCAGAGTGAGCCTGACAAGAAGAGTGAGCGTCGTCGTGCAACGATGTCAGTTCCTTGAGGCAACCTGGCAGAAGTAGCAATAGCTATGAAGAGGCAAAAGTGCAGAGCAATTAGTGACAGGAAAAGTATCCAATCACCATTATTACCATTTACCAAGGAGAAGACAGTCAATCACAATATCAGTCTCAGTCATTCCATCTGAAGAAGGATTAAAATCTAAGATCTTTCATATGTGAAGAAGCGATATGCAACGGAGCTGATGATAAAGGGTTTAACAAGATTCACGATCAATAGAAAGAATATTGCGACACGCTACAATGACGCCTCTGCAGACTACTTCTCAAGGACTACCCACATACGTATTAGATTCACAAGACATAATGGTCCCATGTATAAGATTCGATTTTTTATATTACAAAATGCACCAGCATAGCAGTTTTTTTTGGAACTTGCTATCTGCAGCAAGCATGCCCAGTCAGTTTCTAAGGAGAAAATCCTAATCTAAACCATGTCCTGGCTTTTGCACAGCTGACCAACACAGAATGTTCTAGATAGAGATAATATGAAGATTGAACAAAAGGATGCCAGAAGCAATAACAGGTTAATGGCAAAGACAAACAGATCACGGGGTCCAGTTCATTCCTAATATCCAGAAAGCATGAGGAAAGCTTTTCTTCCACAAAAACATACCATCCTCAAACCAACCAACATGAAGGGGCAGTATGAGTGAGGTACCTTAAGTATCAATCCATGGTTCCCAGAAGAACTATGATCACCAAAACAAATTTCACTATCTTTGAGACTTTAAATTCATCAGTTGCGCCATCAGCTTCATTGAGTCTACCGTCATTCCAATCTTCAACTTTCGAGAACATTGATCTTCTGGAACGTGTCTTTTCAAGGATAGTGACCACATGTTGCTTGCATAGATTCTCCCATTTCTTCGACAGTGCACAAAAATCCTCTGCAGGTTCACCCCTAACATAGACAAGAAGATAGTAAGTATTTTTTATTATATAGACCACCAGGAAGGCATTTCCAACTAATAATAGAAGGCCAGGTCACTTTTGTCACTGGACGATTTAGTTTGAAGCTTTCATGTGCAGACTTTTCATTATCAAGGGTCGATCTCTGAGGAAAAATGAAACAATTTGAAAACATACCTAAGAAATGGTAAGGGGAAAAGGCAGGAATTGGAGATGAAACAGCATGCCTCAGAAAGTTTTGAATCCATGCATAATCCTATCAACATCAGAAAGTTTAGGATCCATGCATAACCATGTCCACATTCCACCACAACCAGGAAAGCGATCTAAAAGGACTAAATTCGTGTGTAATATCCACTTTCAGAAACAGCTTCACATGAGAATGTTCCTTGGTGGAGCAGAAATACCACCCATCTGGTGCTGATGAGTCAAGTCCCCTGGAAAAGGAATTGTCTGGTAAAACCAAAAATTTAATGCCATGTACAGATGGCAATTTGGAAAGAGCAATTTATAGATTGCTCACTTATCCATTTGCAGTTTGAGGCACAAGAGACCCTCCCCCCCTCTCTTTCTCCCCTTCCTCTTCAAACCCTTTTCTCCTCTCTTCTTGAGCGGTTCTTCATCTCACTGAAACTCAACAAACTCATAGGTGTAAGAAAGATCAATAATTACCTTCTGATACGCTTCCATATAAAGGCCTTAGAAAATTGTCTGAAAGAAAATTTCTTTCCGTATGAGCATTTTTGATGATGTAAAACTCAGGAAATTAAAATTAAGTCACAGCCACTAGTGAAATTTCTTTCACTCACTGCTCATAATACAGGTTTATGGAGTTATGTAAGAGGTTTAGGAACCTATATGGCCTGCATTGCTCCCTATAGAAGTTTAAAACATAATTAATCTAAAATTTATATTTCTTTTATCTTAATCTATAATTCTCTGTTACTTACTGCAAGATCTATCCTCAGGCTTTGTGAATTTTCTTATCACCTTTATTAGACTATTATAATAATGACTTGGATCACATCTTGCAAGACTTTTGATAGATGAAAAGAAATGTTAGCATTATAGTTTAATAGACAACATCTGGAAGAACCAAAGCTACATTTATTCTGTGAAAAACAAGTATTAGGTACCATTAAGAAAACTGGAAAAGGCTAGCCTTGTGACAGCATATACTTACCCACACACATTATTATAGAGGCATACAGCCAAAGACATAATAGCAACATCTTAAAAGAACCATAATGAGTATCATGGTACTTACCAGAAGTCAAGGCTCCGCATGTGGAGTATTCTGCACAGTACTCCATGTCAACATAGAAGTCAAACTTTTGAGATGACCAAACCTATCTGAAATACAGACACAAATTGTCATTGAACCTAACTTCCTTCACATAAGCATGTTATATATTGAATCACGACAGCAATAAAAACAGAGAAAACAGTCAAGCACAATTCTGAGCATTTTTAAGGTTGAATGAATTACCCTCTCAATGTCAAATGATGAGTCGCATGATTCAGAGCACTATGCGTACTTAATTTCAGCCTCATTCCCTTCCTCATCATGTCATCTTGTAATTCCAATGCCTTCTCCACTTCCCCGACAATACAGCAACCGTATATTAAAAAATTGTACGCTAGAGTATCAGGCTTCACGCCCTTACTTAACATACTCCCCCACAAATCTATGGCTTCCTTCAAATTTCCCCTTCTGCAGTACTCATATATTATCGTCGAGTATGTAATGCAATCAGGAAAAATACCAGCCTCAGTCATTCCATCTATAAGTTTCATTGCCTCCTCCATCTTACCTGATCTACAGAAGCTCCGGATAAGAATATTGCATGAAACGGTGTTGGATACAAAGTCTTTCATCATGATATTGTGAAGTTCTCCAGCTTTCTCCATATTTCCCTCCCTGACTAGATGGTCGAGAAAACAGGTGTATGTCACATGATTTGGGAGAGAACCGCCGGCCAGCATTTCCTTGCAAAGAAGCACAGCCTTATCCATCAACCCCGACTTGCACAAACCATTGATGAGGGCAGTGTAAGTTATTGTACTTGGTATGCATCCTTCATTAATCATTATATCCCAAAGTCCCAATGCCTCCTTAAGGTTCCCTATTTTTCCATGACCATCAATCATGCTTGTATACATTACAGTGTCAGGCTTCAATCCTTGATTACGCATATCGTTTAAAAGACCCAACAACGTTTTCATATCATGCTTCCTCATGGTTCCATCTACAAGCACTGAGTAACAAACTAGATCCATATCAATGCCTCGATCTACCATCTCACGAGCATAAATCAGAGCGTCGATTAGTCTTCCGTCCTTGCAGTAGCCTTGAAGTAGTGCACTATAACATATCTCGTTTAATTTCCTATGCTCTCTATGAAGGCTTTCAATAAACTCCTTAGCTTCAGAAACTCTACCGGTAGAACAAAGGCCACCAATTAGAGGCCTATATGTAAATGTATCTGGAACAAGACCCTTATTCAGCATTTCATGAAACAAAACATAAGCCTCGGTTGTGTTCCCATCCTTGCAGTGTCCTTCAATCAGGATATTGTAAGTCACCTCATTTGGCATAACATCCCACTTCACCATATCTCTGAACATACAGATAGCTTCATTCATCATATTTGCTTGACAGAAGCCACGTATGAGTGCAGTGAACGTATAAATATTTGGAGCGATACCCTTGCCAGTCATCTCATGGTACAACCTAAGTGCTTTCTGTATGTTTGTATTGTTGCAGAGTGCACTTATAAGTGACGTGTAAGTTACAACAGTGGGTATCAGACCTATATTAACCATCTCATCGAAGAAAGACCACGCTGCATTCAGATTGCCAATCTTGCAATGACCATTTATTAGAGAATTGTACGGATAGACTGTGATTTTTACTCCTCCCTCAATCATTCTGTTAAGAAATTGAATAGCAGTACCTAGCTTCCCCCTTCGGCAATATGAATCAATCAAAATAGAATAAGTTACATCATTTGGACATAAGCTCTTCATTCTCATGGCTTCAAAAAGAAACTCAGCTTCATTGAATTTCCCATCTTTACACAAGGAATTGATTAATGCATTATACACAAACAAACTAGGCGCTGCCCCAACTTCACCAACCTTATTTACCAGATCATAAGCATCCCTGATCTTCCCGGTTTTCCTCAAACCCTCAACAAGGCTTGATATTGCAGCTTCACTCGGAATAAACCCAGACACAATCATTTCATTCATCATCATTAGACCAGCATCAAATGCTTGCACTTTACACAACCCAAGTACTAACGTGCAATAAGTAACCACATCAGCGGTTAGATTCTTTTGAGTCAAACTAGTCTTAATCTCAACAGCTTCCCAAACTCTCTGGCACTTGCAAAACCCATGAATAAGCACATTATAACCCACCATACCTACCTCCAACCTCTCTTTTTCCATCCATTGAATCATCGCCTTTGCTCTAACGAACTCCTTCAGTTCACACAAGCTTCTAATAACTGCTGTGTGAATGTAAACATCAGGTATAATTCCAGCATTCACAACCTCATCATACAAAAGCAGAACCGTATCAAATTGCCTAATCTTCACGAACCCATTCATGAGCATACCCAGAGTCCTAACTTCTGGAAATAAGCTGCTGGTCTTCATCAATCTAAAAACCAAAGCAGCTTCGGCCATTCTCTTATTGGCCACATAATTCTGAATCAATAGATCGAAACCCAAGCTAGAGCTAAATCTGCCCAAGCGGAACGAGTCCAAGAGAACCTCAAAAACCTGCCTCGGCTCCAACCCGCGAAACAGCAACGTTTGCAGAAGTGAAGAAGCGGGCCATTGAAGATTAGCATTGGCCAACGAATGGATTAGAATGCAGAAGGACAGGGCTGAATGGTCAAAATTTCTATGCAACCCCAGGAAGTTGAAGAACCTCAAAGCTAACCTGGAGTCGTCAACGGTTCGAACTAGCATTTGCTCCACATGGCGGGTACTAATTGAAGCGGAGAGAGAGGGATTGCTGAAAGCTGATCTCCAGCTTTGCTTTCCTCGTACGATGGTTTCGAGAACGCCGACGATCTCGGAATCTCTATCATTTTCGTCATTATCAGGTCTGCAGGGATTGCAGGTGCAGAAGTAGCTAGTTGACATAAAGTTCGGATTCGAAATGGTTCTTCGTCGAAGATGCCATAGCTTCATTTTCCCCCGGGAGTCCGGCGGAAAGCAGAAATGTAGCGCCGGTGGTTGCAGTGGAAGACGGCGGACGAATTTATATTGGACTTTGGCAGGCAGAAACCCCAAGAGAGTTTATGGGCTTTTCACATTTTAAGTTTACAACAAGCCCAGTACTTAAGAAAGAACATCCAAACATTTCCATTTTCCACCCATCTTGAAGCCCAATAACTGACAAGTAGAGGATTTAGAGATGATGATAAGGGATAATGGGTCGGGGACTCGGCTCTGGTCGGTCGAATAGTGTATATTCATTATCCTAGTCGAAATGGTTTGCCTTTTACTCATACGCATACCTATATAAAAATTTGATAGAATATCAAAATTATACTCATCCGATCGGGTTTTGTATATTCAAGGTTGTCCATGAATAATAATTGATTTTTATAACTTCAAACAATATGTTAACAATTACACATATAGGGACATTACATAAGCGACAAATTACTAACAGTAAAATTTCAAAATTTATAAAATTAGTTAAAAACAATAAATTTCATAAAATCATTATATGTGATGATAAATATCAAATGTGTTGAGAAAAAAATTCACAAATATGGTAATTTTTGCCAGTATATTATAATCTTCCATTAATAGACTATAGTTTATCTCAATTACAAGGAAAAGAGGGAATCTGAGTTGAGCACTTAAAACCCTGAACCAGATGCTGTAAAGAAACATATAAAAGTTGCCTTCAACATTTTCAATTGGATAGAAACCTGATAACTTTACTTGGCACTCCTTCACGGGACAGTGTCTTACTTGTAATATTTACACTAAGCCTGCACTGCACTCTTTTCTGTTTAAAATGCAGCTGAATCTTAAAAGAAGAAACGAAAGGTTCCAACCCTTAAATAAGCAAAGAACTAGTAGTATTATGAAGGGCACTTGAAGGACACACTAGCATTATTAAGTTACATCTCTAGGTCACACTAGTAGCATTATTTCTATCTAGCCAGATTACAACAAAGGCCTGAAAAAGGAAAGAACTTAAGGACACGAAACAGAAGACGCTCCTAACATTATTGAGTTACATCTCTAGGTCACACTAGTAGCATTATTTCTACCCGAGGATTACAACAAAGGCCTGGGAAAAAATGGCCTGGGCTAGCAGCAGTGGCACAGGCTATAAGACTGCGGGTAGAGCCTCAAACTCATAGTCAATGCTGCAGGAATAAAAAATGGTCGGGTGGAAGACACTTATGGTTAGGAGATCCAGTCGATTGGAACTGCTTCGACTGGCTCGAGCTCAGGCTCGGATAGTTGAAGATAAGTTGAATGGGAGAATTTTTTAGGGAGAGTCATGAGTGGTCCATCATCACCAAGTCCTAGAGCTGCTAATCCCATGGCATATCCCAGTGCTCGTCCCACAGGGACAGCAACTGCATTCCCTATCTGGCGATACCTGAGCCAACAATATTAGCAGGAGCAGAAGTCAATATTGAAAAATGAAGAGAATGCCAGTGTACTTGTTCAAGAACTGTGTACGCGAACAAATTTAAAGCTAGCAAATTCAGGACGTTTGAAGATAAGATGTAAATGGACAAGATGCTGCTGCACAGCTGCCATGAACTTGAATCAGATAAACATTTAGGAACCCGGAATCCAAGACCTAGAGAAATCAGTAATTCTAACACTTCCATTGCTTATCTCTCGTAGTTGTTAGTTCAACCTAGAGCCAACATTGCCTGCAAGAACAGGCTTGACTGCTGGGACTCTAGCCACTACATTTCTGCTAAAGTCTAAAACAACCCATGGCCCACAGCAATACATTCAATCCTAAGCTCCGAAGCTTCATGGACTACAGCAATAAGCAATTTGCAATGGCAAAACAAAATTCCAACTGAAAAAAAGATGCAGAGGATATATATGGAAATGCAATCATAGTTCACAATGATGTCTGAACTCAAGTTGACATCTCACTTGGCGCATATTAACTTTACCGGGTACCAAAGAGCGAAAGGACATCAGAAACCAATTGCATACCTGGCTTTAACAGAACCACAGAACCTATAATAATCCGGAAAACCTTGCAGCCTTGCACATTCTCTTATGGTAAGAACTCGATCCTGATCTGGATGGAGCACTGCCTGCACACATGTCTAGAGACTTAGAACCCACAAACAGCATGCATACGGCTTACAGATATTAGGCAAGAGCTAGAGGGAACAAACCTGGCTGTGAAGATCTGGATATGTCACCACGGTGGGTACTGTTTCATCCCACCACAATCTTCCATATGGCCTGCGGAAAGTGCTCATTAATGCAAGACAATTGAGTAACTACAAGAAAGGCAACAACTACAAAGATGCATATAATTCTTACCTTCTAGACTTCCCTTGTGAAAACTTTAGGGCAAAATCAGGTACCTGAAAGAGGAATGAACATTGTAACAATACTAATATGGCATTTCATTAGCCAACCAGTGACGATAATAAAGCCACAGGAAGGGGATTGGAGGAGAAGACACTTGACAAAAACATTTGGCACTTTATTGAGAAATACGTTAATGTTTGGAAAGGCTTACAGACATATTGAATTTGTCCAAATGTATACATCTCTTGTTTTGCTGTACTTTGTATTTTATTTTTACGCACTTGTATGCGTCTGTGTATCCACTATCAAATTCTTTTTAGAGCATATAGATGAGTAGATATATAAACTAGATACTAACATACTGCTTTTTTTCTTCTTCAGAAACAATGGTTTTCCATTCACTAAGAACAACTTGTACATGTAAATGCTCTGACAACACATGAAAAGTAGCTATCAGAAGTTTCTAACTCTAGTAGACATTCAAGGGACTTAAAGAAGCTTAGTTAATGCACTACGAGGATTGAGCACATTGTAGCCTGAATTTTTTAGCAAAAGATAAAAATTTCTATTCCATTTACACAGGTTTAGATGGTGAAAGCTAGTTCATTAAAAAAAAATTGATGTGCCTTCATAAGCATTGCCTTTGAAACATTTTATCAATGAGTTCTGCCAGATGGAGAAATACTTTACAAAATGCACAAAATAAGTGTTGATTATTTTCATCTTCTCAAGAACTTCAGCAACAAATTGACAGTCAATTTGATCACTCATAAGGAAATTGTTGAAAAATCACTCACCAGTGGCTTTCCAGATGGTAAAATTACTTGCTCAATCTTTTGATCTCGCCTTGCAACATTGTCTGCCCCAACTACTACTCCAGGGAGATCCCTGAAATTCGCACCCTGTCATCAAGCTTCTCAATTAGAGTGAGAAAGAAGGGAGATTTAATGTGATAACTTATAATAGTCAACCTTTTTTTTCGGGATCTGACAAACACGAGCGTAATCTTCTTCACTCAAGGAGTAAGGACGATGATCATACAGTACATCCTTGGCAATTCTTGCACCACTTTTTGAATGACCTATCATCTCTTAAAATCCCAAAGGAAATGTAATGTGGCAATTACTGATTAGTTCCCTTGTACACAGATAAAGGGAGAAGTTCATGATACTCGAGAAAGAAATCTCACACAACTAAGTCAAGCAATCAATTGAAATAGCAAATGAAAACACTGTCAAAGGGAACATACTGTAAAAGTTTAAAAATCTCAGAGAAAGCCATTAGGGCTGAAAGAGTTTTCAAATAGAGGAGGTTGAGTTACCAGACTCTGGGGACCGAATGAATCTTTGAAACTCGGTTTCTGGGGGCTTGTCGTATGGCATTTCATCACGGTGTTCATTACTGGAAACCTACAAATATCGGGGAATGTGAGAAAACAATCCAACCAATAAGGAATTTGTGGAAAGAGCAGATAAACCTACAGCTGGAAGATCAGATATGGCATCTTCAAGAACTAAGGCTTTTTCTAATGGACGTGGCTGATCTTCATCATAAGCAACAGTATTGCGCTGCAAAAAAAAAGTCATATCAATATCTAGATACACAATCCAAATATATGTTTTGTTGGTTGGAAAAATCTGTACCTCAAATTCAGGCGGTGGCCAATATCTGACAACAACATCATGAGTAGGAAGCGGAAACTGTGGAAGTTTCTGCTCAGGCAAAAATGAAACAAGAGAATTTCAGGGGTAACTCCACAGAACATTAATTCAAATTTAAGCCCTCGTGGATGAAAATGAGAGGCACAAGATGCACGTACACTGGCGAGAAGTCAAGGCCACTAGAGGCACGAGGTGCAAGGACTTCTGTCTAGTGCATGAAGTGGAGCCCGACTTTGACAGTCTTAACTTGAGGTTTATTTTAAAAACGGCGTTTCTAGTTTCTACATGATGGTTGTTAACTAGAAAAATGAAGATCAAAGCTTACCTCACAAGGATGCGCTCCCCACAAGAAGACACGGAGACGAAACTGGGGGAGACCATAACAACCAGCTGCAACAGTACCAAGCCTTGCTTGGTACTTCATTTGTACCAGACGACTTAAAGCGTATCTTGCAAGAGAAGCCTTGTCAAATCTTAGAATATCAACTACATTTTCCATCAACACAAATTTGGGTTTTAAGAACTGCACAATGTCCATGAAAACGCCAATCTGTTGATTTCGTTCATCATCAAGTGGAGAATCAAAATTTCTGAAGCGATTATAGCCACTAATTCCCTGGCATGGAGGGCCTCCACAAACCAGATCAACGTCTCCCTGTGAATCCAAACAGAACAAACAATTAGTATAAGGGACAAAGAGATAAGGATAGGAAAAAAGCCCAAAAGAAGTATAGAAAATAATAGAGCATGACTTACAGGAAGTGGTAAGATCTTTGATTTTCGCCCATTTCTCACAAAATCACGTATACTATCTTGGCAGTTACTGGCAGAACAAATATGAATAAGATAGGATACATGAGCTCAAGTAGAAGCGAACATCACAAGTGCCAAAATACCTTAAGCTTTCAATTGGCTCCCATGTATCATCATTTACACTGTAACCCTTCCAATGTACCTAACAAGATTGGTAAGAGCAGGAAATTGTGAAGCCAAACAACCATATGGAACAAATTTTGGATCCAGAATACTGTTGATACAAAACACATGTTGTCAGCCCAATAGTCAGTTTTGAAGAAGGATTAAGATCTACCACATGTGAAGCAGCAATATGCAAAAGTGTTCATGATGTTGGGTAAAAATTGTAACATGCAAAACAGAAATCCCTGCAAATTACTTCTCAAAGATTACTCAAAACAAGTAACTGACTTAAAAAGACATACTGGTATCATTTACAACATTCAAATTTTTATACTATGATACTAAATATGACAGAATGCATCAGGATATCGGATATTTGGAAGTTGTCTGCAGCAAGCATGCCCACTCAGTTTCTACAGAGAAATTCCTGAGCTATACCATGTCCTGGTTTATGGCTTTTTGAACAGCTGACCATCACAGAAATAACAGGATGCCAGCCAAAATTTAAACAGATCACAGGGTCCAGTTCATTCTTAATCGTTCTGAAAAGCCGAGGATTATTGCTCTTCTACAAAAAAAGAAAATACCCCTCTCTAGCTAACAAACATGAAGTGGCCGAAAAGATGTACCTTAAGTTTCAATCCATGGTTCCCAGAAGAACTAGGATCACCAAAACAAATGTCGACTATCTTAGAGACTTCAAATTCACCAGCAGCGACATCAGCTTCATTGAGTCTATCATCATTCCAATTTTCAGCTTTTGAAGCCATTGATCTTCTGGAATGTGTCTTTTCAGGAACAGTATCCATATATTTCTTGCATAATTTCTCCCATTCCTTCAACAGTGCAAGAAAATCCTCTGCAGGTTCACCCCTAACCTAGACAAAAAGGTGGTAAATATTATTTATTATACTGACCATCAGGAAGGCATTTCCAACTAAAAGTAGAAGGGGCAGCTCACTTGGGTTCCTGGATGATTTAGTTTCAAGCTTTCACGTGCGTACTTGTTACTATCAAGGGCCCATCTCTGTGCAAAAATGAAACAATTTGAAAACCAGCACAGCTAAGAAAGGGTAAAGGGAAAAAGAAAGAAATTGGAGATGACATAAGGAGTCGATTTGAACTGAGTACCATCACAAGATCAACATCAGAAAGTTTAGAACCCATGCATAATCCTGTAGACATTCCACCACAACCAGAAAAGAGATCTAATAGGACTAATTCACGCTTGCAATTTCCACTTTTAGACACCGATTCCCCTGAAATGTTACTTGGTAGAGCAGAAATACCACCATCTGTAGCAGCAGTAGTCTCCAAGTCACTTGGTGCTGACGAGTCCAGTCCCTTGGAAGAGGATTTCTCTGGTAAGAGCGAAAATATTATGTTTTGTGAAGACGACAATTTCAAAAGATCTGTATACTCTTATGTCATGTAAAGATGCCATTTGGATAGCAACATATAGATTCCTCACTCATCTATTTGCGGTTTCAGGCATGCAAACAACTATTGTATGAAATTAGTTACGCAGGGGAAAAAATAATGTTACAGCTACTAGGTAAAAGTTCTTTTATCTTATGAATAGGTGAAAGTTCTTTGTTAAGGCTCTTTCACTTACTACTCCAACATTGTTTTGTTTTTATTTGGCTCCCTATACCAGTGATTTTGGTCACTAATTGCAATTGAATCTGGATGAAAATTATGCAACTGTAAACCTGGATAACTTGACCTAACAGATGATGTGTTGACCAGTCATTCAGGAGCCATGCTAATTGGAAAGGTAAATGTTGAATCAGTATCAAACAATTAGAGACTACCCTACACATAAAGAGTAACAGCCAATCTTAATCAGCGCCTACCATTTCCATCCAAATCAACAGGTTGGATTTACAGGTTGATGAACTTACCTGAGAGGCTCTACCAAAAAAATAATACTTGCCTGAGAGGTTTAGGAACCTAAACGGCCTGCATTGCCCCTATAGAAGTTTGGAAACATAATCAATCTAAAAATTTCTCTTTCATGAATCTTAATCTATAAATGCTTCATACTTTAGTTTGATCTGTGCTCAGGCTTTGTGAATTTTCCAATCACCTTCATTAGAGTATTAGGATAACGGCTTGATCACATCTTACCGGACCTTGATATATGAGAGGAAATCTTAGCATTTTATTTTTAATTGTCCAGAAAGAATCAAAGCTAGATGCATATTATTTTTAAGAAAAACAAATATTGGCTCCCATGCGGACAAGGCTAGCATTGAACTGACTACATATGCTTATCCACTCAGACACACACATTATTATAGAGGCATGCAGCCAATGATGTAATAGTCACATCTTTATCTGTCTACTAGTTTTCCATGACGAGTGTAGGCAAAAAGCATGCCATTCATGTGCTCTTTAGCTTGGGTAAGTACATGTTTTCAGAAGAAGAGTATACTAATTCCCGTGGAAGTTAACATGGAATGGTCAACAAGGAGGATTTTCTATCGAAGTACTGCAGCTTCATACCAGCTGGCCTTGATCTCTTCCCTTAGATTAAGCACCCTTCCCTTTCATTACTTGAAAAGTAAAGCTAGGAAACTACTGTCACATGAAGCACCATAATGAGCATTAACGTACTTACCTGAAGTCAAAGCTCGGAATGTGGAATATTCTACACAATACTCCATGTCAAAATAGAAGTCAAACTTTTGACACAACTGTCGCTTCAGACCTATCTGAAATACAGACAAAAAAATGTCATTGAATACTATGACTTCCAACACAAGCATGCGATCTACTGATCCGCAGAAGCAATACAAACAGAGTAAATGGCTCCAAAATTTTCAGAACCATCTGAAACCCACCTTGGGTGATATCTTCATGATATTCACTTTCGAGCTTATGCAATCGACTGGATTGTCATTCATTACAGTTGAGTAGAAAACACGTTTACTATCATGAGAAGCAGCTTGTTCTTTCATAATCTGAGGTAAGACAGACCACAATAGAAATAGTCAAGATAAACATGAGCCTTGCCTAGCATAATCCAGACACAGTTTAATTTACTTACTGTGTCTTCAGCTTTATAAAACCACTGAACCCTGAAATAGTCTTCTTCATCCGTTGATCGAAAAAATTCAACTATCTTTCCAATGTGCATTTGTCCTTCTTGTCCCTGCAGCATGCACTAGTTAGCAAACGCCAAACAACAATGGGATTGGTGACCCTCAACTGACCAATTTACTTGCAAATTGAAGAAATGTAATACTTTGAAGCTATGGACCCAAGTACTATTGCATGAATTCAAGTAGGTAGCCTTCATATGAAAATTATTATATATATGCGAAGCAGAGAAGAGTTGATGAGGTGAAGTATAACAAAGCAAAGTAGAGAAAAACGTAAATAGATAATCGTAAGACCTTAATAAGCCAACTGAAATTACCCTTATATTTGCACAATCCCCGAGATCAAACACGCAGCCATCAACTTCAGCCTGAGCATAATGACACTCCACATTCCAAATAATCTGATCTTCATCATCCTCACTATAAATGAGCATACAAGAGTGGCAACAAAGGAACTAAGCTGAGAAGTTTAACAACCCAGAAATTTCAAAGAGTACCAAAACAATCAAACGAGCGAGCGAGCGAGAGAGACAGAGAGAGAGAGAGAGGGAGAGAGAGAGAGAGAGGGAAAGAGAGAGAGAGACGAAAGGACAGAGAAGAAAACCCAGCACAAAGAGAGCTTGAGTTGAGCCTTACTCTGGCTTTAACCTTCGGTCTCTTGATCTTTTACTCTGCCAACAAAAATTCCATTGTCAATGTTCCAAACAAAAAACGTGCTAAACAAGGCAAGGGCAAGCAAGAAGACAATGAAACAAGTTTATTAAGAGAATAAACACTATAATATTTTATTAACGACAGAAAGCGTGGAGCATAAGAATTCGCCTAAGTGAAGAAATGAATCTAACAAATTTACACATCCCATACAAACCAAATGATACATTCAGAAACCCTGAAACTCATAAAACGTTAAAAAAAGATGTACATTTAAACAGTACTTGTGAGTAAAAGCACTCAGTGAGCTAGATCACTTGTTTACCTTCAACTCATATCGCCAATGCCACCTTTTCTGAGCTTCGTCGCTCGCAATGGGATCACCAATTAAACAAGGACCTCTCTGTCCCTTCAACTCATTATTCACAGAAGGTTGTTTCCTTTTGTCTAAAGATAATTGGTTGTCTGATTTGTTCTTTGCTTGGAGTTCATCAAACAAGTCAGGGAACTCTACCACGGCATAGTTCATTTTGCATTGCTCGACTACAGCAGAGTGACTTGAGCAAGTACATAATGTCAAGGACTTCTCAGAAATCTGTTTATCCAACAAATGTGACATTTCACCCAAACTGCAAACTGTGTCAATGTCTTTAGCGATGTTACTAGGCAAAATATGTACTGGGCATCTCGTTAATGATTTTCCATCAAGTGTTTTTTTGGAAACACTCCCTAACATATCATTACCAACTGCACTTTCTGTCAACAATATGTACTCAGGAGAGATGCTACAATTGTTTTCATCAAAACCACCAACAGAACCGCAGCAAGATGCATTAAGAGCCCCCGCCTCACCATTTCTCTGCAAGGTAGCAAGAATGCTTCAGTTTCTGATTTCATAAGTGCACTTAACTCAGGATCAGAAGGTTCAATGACACAGAGGAAGAACCAACATTGTGGATGCAAGGTGGTGCCATCTGCATTGTGCCGTTCGAAGAGATTATACCGATTCCAGGACGAGATGAACCTGCTTGAGAAGCTTCAGATCCTGTTTGATTCTTCTCACTCAAGCACACGATGCTTAATTCCTTTGCGCCCTCTTCTCTACGCTCGCCACTTGAATGACACACACTTTGAGTTAGAACAAACACGAAAGCCGGTAACCAACAGAAATAGACAGTGAAATAATATAAAACTTGTGCCCCAGATCACACTTACTTCACTGATAAACCTCGAACCTTCTGCCTTTTACTCTGGAGCATGGAATAATTGAATCAGAAATGAAACAGAACAACAGCATATGTACTCGCCAAGCCAATTACTTGCAATCAGACAATCGTCATTGTGTCTTCCTACGTAATTCTCGACCAATAATGGACCAAAAAAACAGTTGCAATGTTCAGGGAACAAATCATCTAAGATGATTTAGCTAATGAAGCAAATTTTCATGTGAAATTCACTTGTTCAAGACAGTATGCTGAAGTTCGGATTGTTCCTATAAATAAAAGGACTGAAATGCGAATTAGTTTACGTATTAGGGATTAATCTGTCTACGGTATAAAGTAGAGGGCCTAAATTATACTTTTAACAAATAACCAACCCCGCGCCGCGACCGGCAGGTCTTTTCGTGAATTCCAATGTCAAAACTCAAAAGTGTGAAAAGTAAGAACGAAATAACATCGGCAATATTTCAATTTTAGTTCATCACTAGATAGAGTTGAGAAGTCGAGCGAGTCGAGGTGGCGGACCTGAACGAAAGGAAGCTCCATCAACTCCAATCCAATGTCGGGGCTAAATCTCGGCGACCTTCTCGCCGCCGATCCGTCGAATTGCCTCTTGTTGTTACCGTTTGAGAAGCCACTCTCCCTCGGTTTTCGCACTTCAGGAACAGAAACCATTTCCACATTTCCCAGCCTCGGCGACCTTCTTTGGGGGAGCAGATTTTCTCGCTGATTTCCGCCGCCTCTCTTTCCCGTCCCTTGGCTTTTCATCCTCCCTGAACCGCCGGCTACTTCCAGTTCTCGAGACGCTATCCCGGGGCTCAAATTGCTCAGCCGCGGGGACCTCCTCGTGCTCTTTCCCTGTTCAGAATCAATTGGGAAGTCTCTACCTCGACGGCCGCTCCTCTCCGGAGAAACAGAAGATAACCTAGGGGATCGTCTTAAAGAACTGCCGCCCTTTCCCGCTGGAGTTAATTGAGCGGATTCGGCACTCACCAGAGCTCCATTGCCGTTCATCTGCATCTGAGGTGCTCTGGATCGCGTTTTCACTTGCGGATCTTCCAGCTCGGCAGCGCCCGACTGACATGCATTGCCGTTTCCGCCGTGCGAATGAGCGGAATAGCTCGGGGACTGCCGCTGGGCCGGTCCCCGTATCGATTGACCAGATTCGGAGCTATCCGCGGGAATCGCAACCTGCATTTCGGGTGCTGGAGAAGAAAACTTGGGGGATCTCCCGGCGGATGGTGAGTTGGGGGAGGCTGGGGAGAAGCTGAGAGGGAGGGCGTCACATGCATTGCCATCTTCGATGATGGAAATAGATAAGGGATTGGAATTGGACATGGATGATTGGATGTAGTAATTGATAAGGAATCACTGCAGAGGAGCTAGGAGAGAGAGAGAGAGAGAGGTTGGATCGGGTTGTGAATTTGATTACTCAAGCCGGCGGCCGTGACGGAGGAGGGGACCGGAGAGAGTTGGGCATGGTCTTCTCCGGTGTCGGCCGCGGCTGAGTTTGGGAGCTGGGGACGGAAGGATAGGCCCGTTGAGTCTGGACAAGTCAAAAGGGAAACAGCTAGAAAAAGAGAGGATTTATAATTTATTTACCAATCCCATTCTAAGAAAAGTTAATGATACAAGCTCGGTGGAAGGGGCCGATCAGACGAAGTCAGGTTCGGATTGGACGAAAGAAAGCGTTACCTCATCAGCGGTTGGGTCATGGGTGGGGTGGGGACTGGGGCATTGCTCTGCTAGCCAGGGAATTCTAGATATTCATACCTCAATAACAAAATACTGCGCTTGAAATCTCTACATATATTCTTTTTTCACAATAAAAATCTTGTTCAATTTATGAGTTGTTGTGGCCATGCCTAGTTCCACTTAGAAAACAGACTGTTGCGCGATAATGTAGTGTAGGGGAAATGAGCAAACATCTGTTGGAACGATGACTTAATGGGGGTAAACATGACAATCCGCATAGAAGTTTACTGAGGTACCATAAAATATGAGTCCTCCATTCACCATACTGGTTTAATAATTGGATACAATATACATAATCTTCAATCCATCCATTTGGTTTCTTGGGAGTTAGACATCCAGGCATCGTAGATATACCAGAGTTTTCATACTGAGTGGTTGCGAATGTTGGTTGGACCCAACAGTAGAAATGATATGGGGAAAAATAGATTTCAACTAGAACAATAGTACAAAAGAGGGATGTCGAAGCAGTAACAAATGTGTTCTCTGGCAAGCGGAGATAACCCCTGCAGAGTTATAAATCATGTAATCTGTCAGTTTTTGGTTTATGATGTTGGTAAGAACGACAAAACAATAAGGACACGAATAAGGACATATGTAAGTAGTAAGGACCTTTCTATTGTTTTCGTACACAATTCAGGCATCCATCATGATACCAACAGAAGTCTCAGTGAAAACTATATATTTCTTGTGTAGTCATCTAGGATATCGTCGAGGTTAATTATAAGTATCTTAAACCTTTCGCTGACTTGACTCTTGAAATCCCCAACATATAGGTGTCCATGGTTGAGCACAGGATAGGTAAGTAGACTCCAACCTTGTCAAGTGTTTGACCTTGCCTCTTGTTCATTGCCATAGCATAAACAAACAGGGAGTTGGTGTCTTTTGAGCATGAATGGCCACCTGAGGTTCTCTATATTGAGCACAATTATTGGGATCACTACTTCATATGTGTCATTAGAACACCCCCACCCCCCACATGATTATTCCTTTGATGACGTCATTGCCCAACATAGTGATCATGATTCTTGTGTCATTCATAGACCGAGTACAGTATTCAAGTTACGAATCAGCATTACCAGAGTGTTATTCTTGAGGTGAGTTCATGATCAGGAACTCCATTGAATTTGAGCGTGTTGAAGAATTCTGTTGGATTGCATTCATCAAAGGCATCAGTTTTTTCTATTGATTGCAACAATAATATGTTTTTTATGTTCTTGGAACCAGATGCATGCAGCATGAACTAGTTTATTGGACCATCGGATTGGACAAAATAAGCGTTACTTCACGGTTGGATGGGCCCTGCCGCTAGTAAGGGAATTTTAATTTTCTTTAGATTATAAAATTTTAGTTACATATATAAAAAGATTAATTTTAGTTGATGTATATTTAATTTTTTTAACAATATAATTTTAATAATATTTTTTTAGTGTTTGTAAACTAGTATCGTATCCAAATAGAAAAATTGCTTACAAGACACCAAATTGATGAGTTGTTTTACCGATAAGAAAAAATAAATTATTGTTAATCCAAAATGTAAGCACAAAATACCTTACCATTGGATAACTTGCTACAACTTTCCCACCATTGGGTAATTCGGTGCAACTTCTGATGAGATTTTACATTTTGTTTTAATAAAATTAAACACAATTTCGATATATTCATATCAATGTTGAATATCAATGTTCAAAACCATGACTCTAGACTTGCCACTTACCACAAATTCCCCAAAGTCAACACCACAAATCTCCTCTGCCATGGACCTTAGAGCCATCTCCAAGGATAGTGTCATAAACCACTTGCTCTCAACTCTAACACTACCCCCTCAAATGAAAGCTTACCCATGGATTTGAAGTTTGCACAGGCCCATCATATCTTGTGCCTTTAATCAATTATTGATATTGAGGGTCGTGGAGATTTGAACACATGATCACTTGACCAAACCAGCTTTGATATCATGTCATAAACCAGTTGCTCTCAATAACTCGAGTTGTTGGGAGAAGGTTATACTCGATTTTATACCACTTTCTAACAGATAGCACCATACTCTCTCCCATTTCCCTTAACGCTACCTTCTCCACGGCAGCGACCATACTTTATGCTTTTAATCAACTGTTAATATTGGGGTCGTGTAGATTTGAACACACGACCATTTAGTCAACCCAGCTTTGATATCACATTGGTCCCAATAACTCAAGTTATTGAGTGAAAGTTATTATACATCTTATTACTTATACCACACTCTTCCATCCCATCGCCTAACTTATCGTCATGGTCGTCTCTGGCGTTCTGAATCTTGGTAATAGAAGATATACTTCTTGTATCCCCCGAGAGCGGTGGAGTGCTGGACGTACCTGATTTTGATCGAGGGTATGTTGTTAGCGGTGGTAGTGGCAACATTGGGGAGTGAAGGAGTGGGTGTTAAGGGCTTGCTGTTGAATGAAGAGACGACTTGGAGTGAGAGGTCGATGGAAGACACAACAATGGGGACTAAAGGCGGGAGAGAAGCCAAGAGGTCGAGTTGGGAAGAGCATTGGGTTTGAATGCGGGATTCCAACTCTGTTCGAAGAGTTTTGGTCATTAGCCCTAGCTTGCTTCGTTCGGGTAATCAGGTTGTTGTTTTTGTTGCTGTCCGATTAATGGGCCAGGTCGAAGTAAAGAAGAAATGCAAGATTTTATGCATGAGTTGGTTTGACTGTTTCAGCTAGAGTTTGGGTCGCCCAGGTCGAGTAATTGGACATGTTTCTCTTAAGGCCTCGTGAGAACTATGCTGGGGAAAATCCTAATAGGGTCCAAGAGACATAATGATAGCCAAACTTTTTTTTTATAGGATCTCATAATTTTATGTGGTGGTGTGACAAATATAGATTGAGCTATCCGGGTGGACCCCCGAAGGGTAGGTAAAGCAAAACTCATAAGCCTTGACTATACCTAGGGATGACAATTTCGACCTGACCCGTTTTACCCGACCTGTTTGGCCTGTTTTGGGGCTGGTCTGACCCGTCCCGATGGCGGGGCATGGCGGGCATGAGTACCTCCCATCGACTTGACCTGCCTCACTCCCCATTCTTGACCCGTTCTTGCCTAAATTACACGTAATCTTAGTCAAATTATTTAGGTTTTTCCTCTTATTATCTCATATTTTAGCTACAATAAACTTGTAAATAAGTGAAAACCTTAATTTCTCCAATAATTTAACTACATTTCATCATATTAGGGTTTCTTTCTTGAACTTTTAACGAAAATAACGAATATTTCTAATGTTTTTCACATAAATTAGATACTCATTGGGTCGACCTGCCCCGACCCGCGTCCCATAATAAATTACCCGACCTGAATCCGACTTGCCACGGGACAAATATGAGTATCGAGATACCCACCCCGAAACTTCCTATTGTTATTCCTAACTATACCTTTGAAAACCAAATATGGGGTTTGGGTCGTTGATTCCGTTGGCTCGTCGGAGATAGGAGTACAAGATAAAGAAGAGGGACAAAAAGCAGTTCAAGCTTTTGCTAGCCTTCGGCCCATACAAAAGCCCAACATTTGTTTACGGCCCAAACAAATTGTCCAGCCTGAGCGTGGGACCGCCCTACACCTGTCAGCGGATTCCATAGAGTTGTCGACGTTGGAGAACACAATTCCGCCTCTGTACTTTACCAATTCGGATGAGGATCTTGGAGAGAAGTATATTTATTTATTAGGGTTGGTTAGATAGAGATATATCTCATCGCTTCATCAATCAAAGAAAGAGAGATCCGCCGAGGAAGATCGAGAAAGGGCTGCTGCAGCAACCAGAGCATCCCACGACCGGGAAGAATGGAGAATCCGCCGAGGCTTGCTAGGACGATTAGGGCGATTCTTCCGGTGAGCGTCAGGTGCGACACATGCCAGGGCTACATGTACAAGGGCAGCAAATTCAACATCGGCAAAGAGGAAGTGGCAGGCGAGGCGTATTTGGGGATCCCAATCTGGCGATTGCACTTCCGGTGCAGCCATTGTTTGTCCGCTTTTACGATAAAGTCGGATCCGAAGAATTCGGAGTTCGTAGCTGAAACCGGGGCGACCAGGCAGAGGAATTTGGAGTTGGAGCAGCTGCGCGCTGCGCTTGATGAGGTCGAAGTCGCTGCTCTTGAAGGCTGAGAGTAGTGATGGCAATGGGGCGGGGCGGGTAACTCAATTCCCATGCCCCGTCCCATACTAGTCAAGTCGAGGGTGGGTCGACCCACTCTTACTGATATAGGTGTCAAAGTGAACCCGTCGGGTTGAAGCGGGTTGCACTTTTTGGTCTTTTCCCATTTTAGCTCTGATACCAATAGTTTTACGGTTCCAAATTCCTAAGTTTCTGTGTTTCATATCTTGTTTTTTGAGAAGTCTCAATCGTCTCTTTATTTTAAAAAGCCTACTAAAGAGTCTAATCATTCTTTCTTTTCCTTGTTTTCTGCAACAAGTCTCATTCTTTCTTTTTCTTTCATGGAATGGCCCAAATAAAGGTGGTTAATTTTCATTTTGTTGTTTTTGGTTTATCTATTTTCTAGTTTCTGCTTTATTTGTTTAGACTAGTTATTATATCGGTAATTAATTCAGTTTTAGATACAGCTTCCTCTAATGTTTCTGAATTTCCGATAGACATTTGTTCTTCTATAATATCTGATACGAAGTGAGATAATTCTAACGTAACCGTATTAATGTCGCCTACTGATGTAAGGTCTATTGCATCTATTACTTCTACCAATTTATTTATGTAATGAGTGTTAGGCATCTTTACAATTTTTCACTCATTTCTACGATTAGTTCTTGTAACTTTTTTATTTCACTAGTATTATCATTTTGATGAAGTATAGTTATGTTTTTTATTTCCTTGTTTTCTTCTTTCTCCATTTCCTTCTGCTTATCGGTTAATCTCATGGAAGAACTTCTCTCATCTATACTTATTCTTGGATGATCATAATTTGATTTTATTATTTTTAGAGGGGATTCTAATTGAATTAATGGTTTGAATAAATCTTCTATGGTGATGGCTTCCTTATCTTTACACGCTAGACTATGATGACTATTGGTCAGTGCATAGTTTATTTGGTATGTTACCGAAAAAAGGTTTACTGTTTTCTTTCATGAAATTTTTTCTTTTCAATTCATACTTTATAATAATGGAAGAGTCGAGATTCCCATCTGTTAAACTAATTCCTTGTTGTAGATTAATATCGAATTTGATTATTCCTACTCCTAGATTTCCTTTTCCTTTTGCAATAATACTCTCTTCTCTATTGATGAGTCGATCATCTCTTATTTCTAGTTCTATAGGTGCACTTATCCCTGTTTTCATAGTAGATTTTAGAATGATTTGTATCGTGCTAATGTGAATATAAGCTATTTTATTTCTTTCTTCCTGTTGTAACTTGGATAATTTTTTCCTAATTTGTTCCCTATTTATTATTTGAATTAGGAAATCTCCCTTAGTTTGTTCTATTGGTACTGCCGTTTCTCCTATCATTTTTCCATATTTAATTATATTTTTTCTATCAAATAGTTTGGATAAAAAAGACTTAGTAATAAAATTTTGCGTTTCTGATAAGGTAAAATTAGTTTCTTCCTTAATTTTCTTGACATTTAATATTCCATCTAGAAAATAATTTTCTTCCTCATTTTTACTTAAATAATCAAAGTGACTGTTACTGCTACTGGGGTTATCCGACATACCTGATCGTTGCTTAGGTTGATTGATGCAACTCCTTGCTACTGAACGTCCCCATGATGGTGTGGTGCGAGGGAGGCTGATTGCTTATGATTGTTGAAAATGGTGTTGGAGAATTCTTTGTGGTGTTAATTGTTGGTGTATAGTTTTTTATGGATAGGTGGTAGCAGATATGAGCGTCTCCAGAGTATTATCTCAAACGCTCTGTGCCGAAGCACCAAGACTACACTTAGTCTTTTGAGAGAGAAGTCTCCAGCTTTTATTCTACTCTGCCTCCTTATGAGGTTCAGATGTACATATTTATAGATGCAGGAGCGTTGCCTGCTTACATATGTACTTACATCATTCTCCACTTAGGAAGAGAAAAACAAACACACGTTATGGACTACATTATTGATCAAAAGAGAAAAACAGACACACTTCTTTAGTCTTTTTCTTTTTGATGTGTCATCCTTGTCATCTTCTCCTTTAGTTATTTTCTTCTTTTACTTTGCCTTTGCCTGATGCATAATGCATTGTCTTCTTTTCTTTAGTTGATGTTGCCTTTTGATTCTTGATGCTTTGTCTTCTTGTCCTTGGTGGATTACATTTCTTTGATTCCATTACTGCTATTAGTGGAGGTAGTCATATCTGCTGCACAGTGGGTGCATATGTGATCCTCGTGTAGCTGCAATAATTCACAAAGTTGCTGTTTTTGTTTCGACGTTAGTGGGGCTAACGTCCCTTCTAGATTGATAAAATCCTTGGCTAGATCTGCGATGAATCCCCATTCTTCTGCTGTGATCTGGTTTTTAGAATTGCTGATGATGATCTTGTTGGTGCTGGTATAATTGACTTTAATATTATCTGTTGGGTTAAGATAATATAGGGCCTGACTTACTGAATATAATGATTTGACTTGATAGTCTTCTGGTATCCTGGCTGTCTCTAATTCATCTCTGGTTGGATAGTTGCCATTAGATACTCCCATTTTGATGATTGCTTTTGATGGCACGACCATTTCTTCCTTGTTGAATACCGGATAGCTGGATGTGTATCGCAGATAGATTTCTCTACCCTTGGCGAATGAGTCTAGATACCTTTTTACGACTGTCTTGAACTTTGTCAGGAATTCTTCGAAGATATAAGTCTTCTATGTGTATATTGTGTCGATTAATCCATATTGATGGAGAGCAAATAGTGTTGTTGGTGCGATTTTATCTGTGATGATGACTGCTCTTGGTCCTCCCTTAAAGGTTGGATAGAAGCCCATGGTAGTATGAATTTCCTTGTAACTGAGAAGATCTTCCCAGCATTGTTGGAATTTTTGAAGTGTAGGTCTATTGATTTCTTCCCTTTGCTTCGTGGTTGGAATATCCTTAATGCTGATACTTGGTATCTTCATCACTAATTTTTGTTGTGGAGTGGCTGACTCTGTCTTCTGTTTCATAGCAATTGCCTTGTATGATTCTCTTAATGCATGTGCTGATGATGATCTTGTTGGTGCTGGTATAATTGACTTTAATATTATCTGTTGGGTTAAGATAATATAGGGCCTGACTTACTGAATATAATGATTTGACTTGATAGTCTTCTGGTATCCTGGCTGTCTCTAATTCATCTCTGGTTGGATAGTTGCTATTAGATACTCCCATTTTGATGATTGCTTTTGATGGCACGACCATTTCTTCCTTGTTGAATACCGGATAGCTGGATGTGTATCGCAGATAGATTTCTCTACCCTTGGCGAATGAGTCTAGATACCTTTTTACGACTGTCTTGAACTTTGTCGGGAATTCTTCGAAGATATAAGTCTTCTATGTGTATATTGTGTCGATTAATCCATATTGATGGAGAGCAAATAGTGTTGTTGGTGCGATTTTATCTGTGATGATGACTGCTCTTGGTCCTCCCTTAAAGGTTGGATAGAAGCCCATGGTAGTATGAATTTCCTTGTAACTGAGAAGATCTTCCCAGCATTGTTGGAATTTTTGAAGTGTAGGTCTATTGATTTCTTCCCTTTGCTTCGTGGTTGGAATATCCTTAATGCTGATACTTGGTATCTTCATCACTAATTTTTGTTGTGGAGTGGCTGACTCTGTCTTCTGTTTCATAGCAATTGCCTTGTATGATTCTCTTAATGCATGTTCTGCTTCTTCTTTGGTTGAAAATGATTGGTGTTTGATGTTGTATCCCGTAACATGGTGAGATACTATTGCCCAGTTGTTATAGAGTCCTCGAAAAGGTCCGTCGTAAATGACATACCATTTTCCTTTCTTTGATTTTCTTTCGTCTTCTTCGTTTTTCTCGTCTTCTTCTAACATGTCTGACCATTTTGTAGATGATGGTATGTCCTTTTCTGGTTGTGTATTTTTTCCTGTAAATGGTAGCTGAATAGTTTGCTGATGCATAACATTTTGTGGTTGAGTAGTGCTTTACAGAATGGTGATGGTGGTCCTTATCTGCTCTAATTCCCCCCGCCGCTGAGAAAGCTGGACTTCGAGGGCACGTATCTGCTCTTCCTTCTGCTGTTGCTGATGCTGCATTTGCTTGATTATCCCTTCCATTCTCGTGTAAGAGTGTCTGCTAGTGGATTGGCTGTTGATTTGATATACTTCAGATATGGCCGATAATAGTGAAGTTGTTGTTGCCAGCGAATAAGTCTTCCTTTATTGAAGTCCGCATCCAGTTTGTATCTCCAAAAACCTGTAACATATTTAGAGTCGGTTCGTAATTCGAATCGACTGGTCAGTAATTCTAGTTTCCATTTTTTCAGTGTTCTGAGAGAGGCTAGTGTCTCTAGCTCATGTATTGGGTAGTTTCTCTCAGTGAAAGAGAATGTTCCAGATATATATTTACATAACTTCTTTGTATATTTGTCTATATTGAATGGTATTGTATAGTCATGTTGTTTTGAATCATTCGATTCATTAGTGCATCGAGATAGTGGTGAATCGTTCGATTCATTACTGATATAGGGTGAATCATTTGATTCATTGCTAATTATATTGCCATAGTGATCAAGTGATAGTAATTTTTTGCCTTCTGGTATTGCAAGCATGCAACCTGCCCATGTATCCCTTGATGCATCTGTCTCGACAATAAGAAAATCTCGATCGCATGGGTTATATAATTTTGGTAAATGATCACAACTGGCCTTCATAAATCTTACCACCTCTGTGACCTTATCATCCCATTTCCAAGGTATTTTATCTGATATTTTTTGCTGAAGATATTTTCTTTCCTTTGCTAGATTTTTTAGAAATCCCTGTTCACTGATATAATTCAGACTTCCTAGAAATCGTTGTATTTGTTTTCTATTTTCCATTTTATCTGGAAATTTATCTAATTTTTCCTTAACATTAGTGGTTAGTTCTATTTCTCCTGTACTATTTATTTTCATTCCCAAATACTCAATTTCATTGAATAACAATTTAGATTTCTTTTTTGAAATTATCAGTCCCTTTTCTTTTAGTCTTTCCAAAACTTTTATTAGTTTTTCTTCATGATCTATCCTATCTTTATTTGAAAAGATAATAATATCATCAATGTATGCTAAACAAAAATCTTCCAATCCTTCTAGATTTTTATCCATAAATCTCTGATAAATTCCTGGGGCTTGCTTAATTCCAAATGGTAACACATTCCATTCATAATGTTTTTGTGGTGGACATGAAAAAGCTGTTAAGGGTTTTGTATTTTCATGGAGCCTTAATTGCCAATATCCTGATTTAGCGTCTAGGCTACTAAACCAAGTTTGTCCTTTCAATCTTTCCAGAATATAATCTTTTCTTGGTAATTTATAACTGTCTCCTATAGTGTGTTCATTGAGTTTTTTTTGTAATTTATTACCATACGTCTTTTTCCCCTTTTAATTTCATTATTATTTTCTACATAGAATGCCGGAGCACTATGCGGACTTTTACTTTCTCGAATAATATTTTTACTGAGTAAATCTCCACATTCTACTAGAAATTCTTCTACATCTCTTTGAGTATATTGTATTTTATTAGGAACATTAACTTCGATATTTGGATCTTTTAGTTTAATTTTCATTAATTCTGAATTTTTATTTTTTGTATTATCTAAAGGGTGTTCACTACAGACTTCCTCTAGTTTTTCTTCAACTATTCCGTAGGCTACTTGGATATATTCAAGCTTATTTTTAAGTCTTTGTAAGACAGTTCTTAATACTTCGTTTTTTGTTATTATCTTGGTGGTAACGATTTTTGACTCTTGATTTTTCATTTTTGGAGCTTTTAGACTTATACTCTTAATTCTTTGAGTAAATGGTTGATATAGTTTAAGAAAATTATTTCCTATTATTATGTCTAATCCTGAATCATGAAGATATATTGTTTTGGCAGTAAATACATATTGTTCTATAATGATAGGCACGTAATGTTTTACATACCAGATTTCATGGATAGATTTATCTGCAACGATAATTTTTAATGGTTTATCTAATTTATCCCAACCTCTAATGGTCGATCTTTTTGCAAAATACAGTGTTGCTCCTGTGTCTATATATGCCAGAAGATTCTTATTTTCAATAGTAACTTTTATGAATGTTGCGTTCGGGTTATTTTTAGCTAGAATCTTCTTCTGACTCATCTGAAAATATTTCTAAATCTGTAAGATATTCAATAATTTCTATGTCTGATAGTTCTAAATCTGTTTCTTCTATAGGTTCGAATCCACAATCATATGCTATCCTTAGAACTTCCTACTTCTTACTATTAGTGTTTTTCTTTGGGCATTTATTAGCATAATGTCCTTCTTCATTGCAGAGCCAACATCTGCAATTAGTTTTGCCTTTAGGACAATAATCTTTCTGACTAGTTTTCTGTTTAAATTGTTTGTTGTTTCTAAAATACTTATTAGTGTTTCTATATCTATTTTTTCTATATTCCTTATAGGGTATTTTTCGCCATTTTTTGTATTTTTCGTATCTCCGTTTTTTCTTTATTTTTGGTCGTTCATCACTACATCCGGATTTTCCGATTTTATCGGTGGAGACCTCACAGCAGAGGTCAATTTTAGCTTGCTTTTTTAGTTTTTCTTCATTATAGGCTCGTTTATGCCATTCCTGTAATGTTAGAATTCGTCCTCCTAATGTATCTGGTACTTCTTCTTTTTGAACTGTTTCATTAAAAGCAGTTTCTACTTTTTGTGCTACTATTAAAGGAAGTTTAGAAAATAATAATTTATCTAGGTCTTTTCTTACTGACGGAATAACCTGATAATAATGTATCTTAAATTCGCAAATAAATGATTCTAAATAACACATATTGCAGATTCTTAAGTTAGTTAGGTGCCAAATAGCCTGATTACTCAGAGTTGCATTAGTTTCTTTTTCTCTTGGATATCTTCCTAGAAATTCATAGGTTAAAGCATTTAATATTTT